AGCCCTGCCTCACCTTAATCTTGTTTTCTCTGCCCTCTTCCCCAAGTATGTATCTCTGTTTCCCAGCACAGATGACCAGATGTTGATCGGCAGCTGGCAACTTTTCACCTTAATGGTTTTAGACTCTCGCCTTCTTGGAAACCTTCAGCCGTCTCTCAGCTGCTCTGTCTGGTGACGGAGACACAGCATCTTGACCACTCGTTGCGTAAATCACGTCCCTGTGGCCTGTGCGGCCCCTAGCTGACCAAGGTTTTAGTGAGTAGAGCAGTTTGAGTGGGAGTACTCTACCATTTTGATCACTCAGAAGGAATGGTCAAGGTGGGGACTGGCTTCTTAGAGGTCCCCAGTCTCAGGACTAACCAAGCTTTGAACAAGTGGCCTCTCCACGCCCCCTGCCCTCACAACCCCATGTTTTGTTCTCTAGAGTTCTCAAGCTGAGGAGAAAGTACTGGTACTCGATACCATTCCTAACTCAGCCTTGTCTTGGGCTGTTCCCTTAATCAGTTCCCCTACTAAGCAGTGTAAACAATGATGCCATTTTGGCCCGTCCCTCCACAGAAGAAATTGGGTACCGCATCAACAAACCTCATTACATTGCTGAGTTATAACCCTACCCCTACTTAACCTGACCAGGACATCTCCGTGGTGTGGTGTGTGCACGTGTGTGTGTGTGTGTGTGTGTGTGTGTGTGTGTGTGTGTGTGTGAGAGAGAGAGAGAGAGAGAGAGAGAGAGAGAGAGAGAGAGAGAGAGAGAGAGAGAGAGAGACTAGGTAGAGGATTAAGTTGAGCAGGACCTAACACCTAACCCCAGAATAAAATTCCAACCCCAGGGAAAGGGAGAGTTGGGGACATTGCTGTAGCTTTACAAATGGCAACCATGTCTTAAGGCTCACTCTGAACGGAGAAAAGAAACTGTACAAGTGTGCATGTTTGAGTGACATACCTGCGTTATAGCTTGCGAGCTATTTCCTTCTTCTCTGACAGAGGACAAATAAAGGATTTCTACAGAAGAGTGACTGGAGCCCGTACGAAACTAATTTGAAAAGTCAAGGGTAATTCTCGCTCGCTTGGTGCTTACTTTTCTCTTTTGCCAGTGACCTCATTCTAAGAGCTCAGGCCTTTCATCTCCCTCCAGTTTAGCTCAGATCCAGGCGGGGGTGGGGTGGGCGTGGGGTGAGGGTCAGGCGTGAGATTTTGAGAAAGTCAGAGGCCAAGAAAAAAAATCCCCTCTCCAAGAAGCCTGGAGCTCCCTGATGCAGCTGGCAGGGACTGCCTGAGTCTTACCTTGGCGTGGCTGCGGGCAGCTTACTCCCTGGAGCTTCGGGGGAGCATCATGGCGGAACATCAGTCCAGCTGAGGGGCATTCTCCCGTGCCAGGAAGGAGCAGCCTGACTCCGCCTGGGCTAGGGTCAGACTGTTGCTTCTCCAGGCCTGGGATCTGTGGCAGCTCCTTGATTTTCTCCTCCACTACACATCCTATGCTCCTCCCGTGATTTTACGTCCCCATGTCTCTCAGACTTCCACCAGACACAGAATACTCTTTTTTTGTTTGTTTGTCGAGACAGGGTTTCTCTGTGTAGTTTTGGTGCCTGTCCTGGATCTCACTCTGTAGACCAGGCTGGCCTCGAACTCACAGAGATCCGCCTGCCTCTGCCTCCCGAGTGCTGGGATTAAAGGTGTGCGCCACCACCGCCCGGCTTTTTTTTTTTTTTTTTGGTTTTAACACAGAATACTCTTTACTAATTACATATACACTTTTTGATTCTGAAACTAATTCTTGCTCACTATAAAAATTCAAACAAGACGATAATGTACCAATAAAAAACCTAACAAAAGTCCCCATTATATTATTTTCCTGAGATATCTGGCCGTAGCAGCTGGGTGGAAGACTTCTAGATCCTTCTCTAGGCATGCACAGCTATGACAGCCATGCTTTTGATTTTATACCTTTGCTCCTAGGGTCTAATCTGCTCTCTGGAATGTTCTCTTTTCTGTTTCTGTACAGCTTTCTGAATGAGGCACACTGCTGCTACCATGCCCTCCCAGCCCTCAGCCTTGACCTGGTACCTCTCCTCTCCCCGAGCCCCTGCCTAGCCTTATTATAGCATCTTGGGCAACAAGTGATCAATTGTTGCTTGCTTTTGTGTCTGTCTTCCATTAGAGCGCACATTAGTGACCAAGAGATGAGGGCCAGGGTAGACCCCAGTGGAAGCCACAGCCTCTGGGCTTTGTTGGACCGTGATGTTCATTTCTATATACCCAGCATCAACCTAGCAGAGAGTTCAGGGTACCTGGACATCACTCAGGAGGAAGACTGATTAGAGATATCTTTATCTGGAAGTCAATGGCTAGTAGCTTCACTCAGTCCTCAGAAGGAGGTGGGAATCCACTTGATGGATGAGGTTGGTTTGCAGCAAAACCAGGCTGCTGGACATAGGTTGAAGCTACCCTGAGGTGGGATGGGCTGGTGCACACACAGTAGCCGGCTGAATCTAGTTGTCTGGTCTGCAGTATTGAGGGGTTGGAGCAGTGGTTCTTCTCAGCCTAAAGCTTCAGGGGTACTGGAGGTGTGGAACACTCAGGATCTTCCTTGAGATACAGGGAGGCAGAGCTTGTGGAACACAGGGAAGCCTTGTAGATCACTAAGGGCCCTTTCTCAGGGTACAGGGAGGCAGAGCTTGTGGAACACAGGGAAGCCCCATAGATCACTAAGGGCCCTCTCTCAGGGCAGAAATCAGCCATTACCCTGCCTTTGCCTTGCTTTGCCCAGTGATCAGGTATCTTTATGAATGAGACAGCCAGTCCGTTTGGTGTCCTGAGATTGAGTGAACCATCTGCCACTGTAGAAGCTAGCCAGGTCAGTCAGGCTGGATGTTTGACTCTTCTCTGAGACGTTCCTGCCTTTTGCTTTTCTGGCTATTACATCTCTGACCCCTGGGTTGGGGATGGTGGAAGAGACTTTTACTCTTCTGTGATGGCCACTGCCTGGCTCTTGGCTCTCCAGTGCCCCCACCTCTATTGGCCTATTATGGATGGCTTAGCTCTCACCAGACCCCTTGGCTTCCTAGCCCAGGGTCGTCAGCCTTCTCTGGGGGCTTGGTTAGAAGAGCTGGGCAGATCTCACCCCAGCACTATGCCATCCATGGGGTATGGGCTTAGGAACCTGCATTCCAGTAAGTTCCTCAGAGTCCTTAGGGACAATCGGGTCTGCAGCCACCACATGAGATCACCACACTGCTCTGCGCTGGAGAGCATTGGTCTCCTCGGATGCCAGGAAGGAGTCTGGGTTGGTGGCGGTGAGATAAGACTGGCTGGGTGAGCAGAAACCCAGGCAGGAAGGCATTTCCCTGGCCGGATGCCCTGGGAGCAGAAAACTGCCTTCTCACCTCTGGGCCCGTTGTGTTACCACTTCTCAAGTGCTCACTCCCATCACAAGCCAACCAGGAGCGCAAGGTTCATGCCCAAAGAGGAAACCTGAGGAAAGGCGTGGACGTGGGCCAAGGAGAGTGAGGAAGTAGGGGAAATTCTTTTGTAGAGTTACTAATTCCAGAGAAAAATGAGGGGGCACTTTATCACCATCCAAGAACTTGGGAGACTTGTTAGACTTCTGACCAAATAATTGGAGACTGAAGGTCGGCTGAAAGGAAGGAGGCGGGATGAGAAGGGACTTGTGAGGCACTGACCCTGGTCGGGGAAGACGACTATGGAAGCTTCTAGTCTTGGGCTTTTTGAGGGTAGTTTTTTCAGTTGTTACTCAATGTGACCTAGGGTCTACTAACGCCTGGCACTTAATCAGTGTAGGGGTGAGAACCACGAACAAGGGGCACTGGATCCTTCTTTCAGGTGCCGAAGGTCACACAGAAGGTCATATCCTGCCTACCTGGCAGCCTCCTTGTCCCCGTCCAGAGTTAGCTATCTGGCTGGCACACACAGGTGCAGCTCTTGCTCAAGCCGGACTTGGGCCGCAGGGGGAGTTTGTGAGAGGAAGAGCTGTGTTGGGGATTGGATGGGAGTGGGAGGCAGTGCCTAGCAGGCTGGAAAGCCCTCTAGTGGGGTTTCCTTCCTCCCTGAGGTCCCTGCCTGTGCCAACTACCTCCATGGCTCATACACACACACACACACATCTAGAAAGCTGACCGACTGCCAGCCTTTTAGTGTGTCACCACATTTCCACAGGAGCCTCCCCCATGACTCAAAGGCCTGTCATGTGGCCAAGCTGAGCAACCCGGGATGTCCCTGGAGCGCGGATGGTCTTGTTAGGGAAAGCTCCTGACTCACTACATGTGTTCCAGTCCAATTGGCCAGGCCTATGAAGTGTTTCCATAGACACCTTGGTCCCCACTGGAAACCTGACCTCTCAGATGCTCAGCTCAGGCTCCTTTGAAGAGCCCGTGGGGACCATCTCTCAGCACCCTGACCCACAATTCTTTTTTTTTTTTTAAGTGTGTCTATAGACCAGTACCCACCCTGGGAGGAACACAGGAAGGGTGTCTGTTGTCACCTTGTAGAGTGACCTGGAACTCTATACAAGAAGCAGGGAAAGAATGATTCAAACCCTGTCCCCGAGGGAACGGGAGCAGAAACTTGGGTATTCCAGGCCCGTGTCCAAGGGTTCCTGAGTCACTGGTAACCTCAGGTAAGTTCTGGAACCCCTGGGCTCTCCTTCAAAATGGGGAGATGATCCGTAGCTCCCAGTGAGGGCCGACTGGGCGCTGGGTGCTTAGTGTACCTCACCTCGTCAGACCTCCTAGCCTGCGAGGCAAGACCACTGTTGTCACTTTTGGATAAAGGAAGAAGCTGAAGTGAAGAGGAACCGTCTAGGGACAGGGATAAGCTTAGCCACAGCCCGGCCAAGTCCTTCCTTTCAGTGGTTGGGAAGTGACACCGTAGTCGGGCAGCCTCAGGCTTCCTGGAGACTGGTCCTCTCACACAGCGCCTGTGCCACGGTGGCAGCTGGGTGACTGGAGACGCGTTCTCTTTCTGCTCACGATGCTGCTCACCCTGAGCCAGCCGCCGGCTGTGCCTCTGCACTGCACGTCTGCCCAACCCCGCACGTCCTCTTTGCCCTTCAGAACATCCGGTCCGCTGTCTGTCCAGGGCCGCTCCTGCCGCAGGCACAGGCAGGAACGGGGGCTTGAGCCGGTTCTGAGGCTCCCGCGGCGTCCTGTAGCTGGGGCGTGGGCAGGACGGGACCGTGTCCACCAGCGGAGGGGGCTGTGGAAGGCCAGGTCCTCCTAGGGCCACGCATGACCCAACGCCGCTGGACAGGGATTCTGAGGACTCAATGGGGCACAGCCAGTGTTGGATGAGGTGGGTCAGTCACTCACTCACTCAGTTGCCCACTCACTCACTCATTCACTCACTCACTCACTCACTCACATTATTAACTCATTCATTCATTCACTCACTCACTCATGTAGTCTTCACTCATTCCTTCATTTACTCACTCCTCATTTAGTCTTCACTCATCATTTATTCACTCACTCACTCACTCCTTCATTCACTCACTCCATTTAGTCTGCACTCACTCCTTCCTCATTCACTCACTCACTCCTTCATTCACTCACTCCATTTAGTCTGCACTCACTCCTTCCTCATTCACTCACTCACTCATTCATTCACTCACTCCCCATTTAGTCTGCACTCACTCATTTAGTCTTCACTCATCACTTATTCACTCATTCATTTATTCCCTCGCTCACTCCTCATTTAGTCTACACTCACTCCTTCCTCATGCACTCACTCATCGGTTCAGCCATGTTTTTCCGCCACGTTGAGGATCTATGTTTGCTGTGTAGACACGGTACTGACTGTACGTGTGAGCTCAGAGGCCAGGGCACCGGCCAGGGACAGGGAGCAGGAAGTGAGTGGCCCTTACAATAATAGACCAGAGGACTGAAGGACACCTACATTTTGGAGGCAAGGATGTCCCCTAAGGAGATCTTGAGGTGAGGTCTAGCCTGAGACCCAAAGCATGCGTAAAGGGGCTTCTGTGAGACTGGGGGCAGGAAACAGGGATGTTCCAAGTGGGCAGCGGCGGGAGAGCAAGTCACCAGTCAGCATTCTGCTACTGTGTTCTCCATGCCATCCTAGGCTCTCACCTTTGACCTTTTTGTTTTCTAAGCACTTGTGATCTGGGCTCACCCCCAGGGCACTCAGCTCCCGTTTCCTCTCCAGTGGGCAGCCCCGGGGTGTGGGCACCACGGCAGCTGCTCTGCCCACTGCCCTGCCGTCTCGGTGGCTCATTCCCTTGGGCGGTAACTGGAGAAGAGGTGGCAGGTGAGCTGTGAGGAACATCCTGGCACAGGGTCTGTCCTGGAGACCATGGAGAGCAAGCCTTTGTCCTGGTGGCCTGTAATGAGTTTCAGGAGAGAGCTTCAATATTTGATGCAAACAGAGACGACAAAGGATGTGAAGGACCATTATGAGCTGACCAAAGAGGAGCTAATCCTCCTGGTTGGGAGGGATTCAAGTGCCTGGCGGGCCCTGGGGGGGTGTTGCCGTGTACCAGCAATTGTGAGAGAGAATGGTGCAGGAGGGAGACAATCCCTCCACAGAGAGAGGCAGTGAGAGACACTCCCTGGAAGGTAGTGGGCGGTGAAAAGGGATGGCACCTGTCTCACAAGCCCAGAGACACGGGGTGACACTCCCTGTACCCCCATGTCCCCGAACTCTGTGCCTGGAACAGCAGCTCTCTCTGTGAAATCTGGATTGCCTTGTGAGCTGCCCTTTGCTGGGGTCACTTGGGTCTGGATATGCCAATGAGAGTGAAGGTCAACCCGGCCTCTTGGTTCTCTGCCCTCTGCCTCCCTCCAGCTCTTTCTATGTCCTCATCTCCTTCAGATCTGGGGACAAAGAAAGTGGAAAACAGCTGTGCTCGTATGCTGCTAGCATGGAGAGGTTGTATTGCGGGGGTCTATTCTTAGCTCTCCTCAGATCGGCCAGTGATCTCATCTGACACATTAGTGTTCCATTCAGTCACCAGGACTGAGTCTTTGCTGGAGGTAGTTGGTAGAGGGCTTTCCCCAAGTCCCTTCCAAAGGTGGGTTCCGGTGGGAGCGGAGCCGACCAAAGGAAGACTGGAGACCTCACCTCTTCAAGCTTTTCTTTGCGTTAGCTTTGTGGGCTCCTGCTGGGATTGCCTCTAGACTCCCCCAGGGCTTCAAATTTCGGGGGTTGTAAATACAGAACTGTGGCTGGTTTGCATAAATTTGCATAACACTGTGTAATTTGCTCGGGCAGGATTATTCCTTTTTCTAGAAAATTTCCAATTCAATGTTTTCCTTCCTAAAAGTTCCTCTTTGTTGCAATTTTCTTTGGAATTTAAGATATTTTAGTTTATTTTTATTATAAGACAAGGTCTTGTCTCAGGCTGGCTGTGAGCTCATGGTGCCTCAGTTTCCCAAGTGCTGGGATTACAAGGATGTACCACCCTGTCAGATTTCTTCTGATTCTGGTTAGTGTCCTAAAATGTCATGTGCCCCCCCCACCCCATCCCCCGTAGGAAAAGAGGACAGTAGAGATGTGATGAAGGAAAACCAGAAGAGAAGGCCTGTAGACATCTGAGTTGGAGAAGGGCAGTGTCTAGGGCCTTGGCCAGGTCTTAGAACTCCCTCTGGTTCTAGGATGCTCAAGAATCCCCCCTCCCAAAAAAAAAAAAAAAAAAAAAAAACCAAAAAAAGAGGCATGGAGGGTGTTCTCGGGACACCTTCCTTTTCCAGAGCAGCCACACAGCAAAACCCTAAGAGCTGGACTCTCAGGCCACACTGTGGCAGAGGTGGGTCTACATCTCAGATCCAGACCAGCTTCAGGGAGCAGGGGCTGGCTTTAAGTGCACCCTTCAAACCACCCCACTGACCCTGGCAGCAAAAAGACGCTCTCCTGAGTCAGCGGGGTGGGAAGAACTCTGGCCCCTCTCACAGGGAAGGGCTGGAAATTGATCTGTTTTTTCTACTTACAGCCAAGGATCATTGTATGGAAGATAAATGAGGTCTGTTTCTGTGGAAGAGAAACACCTGCTACAAAGTCCGGCCAGCTGAAGGACTTGTTTCGCCCCCTCTCGGCTTCCTCTCCGATTTCATGAGAGCATCTCAAAGCTCTTCCCATCCTTCCTTCTTGTTTTCCAGTTTTTTTTTTTTTAAAAACCTCACATTGTCGTACCTATTATTTGTAAACTTCCATGCTATTTAAACAGTTATTAATTATAATACCCCACCAAAGCAATAGCATCCCCCTAAAATGTACATCAGGCCACATTGCTCCATTGTCTGGAGAGCATCCTTCCCCAGTGGGCCAGGCCCTGTGTGGTATGGGTGCAGCCTCCCCCCCCACCCCCCCTCCCCCATCCTCACCCTCTGCTCCTGGGGCGCCTCCTGCTTGCCTGGGGGCCTCCCTGACAACTTCACATCTCAGTTCCTTTGCTCTTGTTCGCTCTTTCTCCAGGAAATCTTGAAGGCCAGTGTCTCCTCACCAGGGCTTGGCAATGATATCCCTGCTCCCAGAATCCTCCTTTAGCTCCCAGCCTAGGATCCCTGGTTACACAGTGACAACTGTCTTATTTATGTGGTGACCTATCTACTCGGCTTTCCATATGGCCAGAGACTTCTGGTGCTTTGTTCATGGGTGTCTCCAGTCTCTGGCACAGAACATAAGCATGTAGCAGATGCTCAAAAATACATACACGCACACATACATGCATTTTAAAGCATTTATTTTATTATTTTTAATTATGTGTGTGTGTTGCGGGGAGATGCAGAGCCTGTGGAGGTTGGAGGTGTTGAATCCCCTGGAGTTGGAGTTACAGGCAGTTGTGAGCTACCCAGTGTGGGTGCTGGGAACCTAACATAAGTCCTCTGAAAGAGCAGTAAGTACACTTAGCTGCTGAGCCATCTCTCCAGCACACACACACACACACACACACACACACACACACACACACACACTCCTCTTTGAGACAGTATCTTGTTGTTTAGCTGGCCTTGAACTTACGATCCCCCTGCCTCATCCTTCCAAGACTGGAATTATTGGTATGCATTACCACACTCATCTAAGAAATACTTGTTAAATGAATGAGAAAGTGTGACTGAGTTGGGACAGGTGACAGATCACAGATTTTGGAGTCCGAGAGTTACAGCATTGGCTCTGTCACTCACTGATGGACAGTCATGGGCAAGTTACTCACCTCTCTCAGCCTCTGTCCCTCCCTTGACAGGGACAGTAATAACTTCCATATCGAAAATTAATTCCAGCACCATGCTTGTGTCTGCCAGCGTCTGGCACTGGTAGGAGCCCATCAAACGGTAGTCATTAACGTAATAAGCACACGGTACGTCATACTTACTGTACCAGGCTCTGTTCTGCCCCAGATATTATCCAGTTTATTGAATGACACAGAGATCTGCAAGCCATGAAGAAATCATGGTGCATATAGATAACCAAATTCGACAAGAGCAAAGTGGTCGAACCTATCCCCTGGATGAGCACTTTACAGTTTACAGACCGTTCACACCTAGCTCACTTCATCACCTCCTGAGCTGCTGAGGTCGGCAGGACTGGCCTCGGTACCTCTGTTTTACCACAGTAGAGCAGGAGCTGAGGAGGCGGCCCAGGGTGGCACTTCTCCCTTGTTCTGCCTGACTCTTCTCCCCTAGCACGCCACCGTGGCGGTTTCAGGAACACTAGCTCCCGGGCACTCTGCTCTGTGCACGCTTCCCGCTCCAGCTCGTACATGCCAAATCCTCTGTTACTCTACGGAGAAAAGCAAATGAAGTGAAAAGAGAGAAGTGGTTGCGGAGCCGGGCTTCGAACCTCTCAATCGGGAGGCCCATTAGCCAAGGAGGGGCTCGGTCCTCGGAGTTCAGCCCTGCCACACACTAGCTGTGCAACTCCGGGGAGTTAATTAGCTTCTCCGTGACTGCCTTCGCCCACCTGCGCATCGGAACGATGATACACCTAGTTTGTGGCTCTGTTGTGAAGCCTGCTCAGAACAGCACCTGGTGCGTACAGTGAGCTTCAGCACACATTTGATCCCCAAATTACTACCTCAGTCCCAAACCTAGTGTTCTTTTTCCATAACCTAAGTATAAAAGTTCGTGGATTCTCAATCACCAGCATGTTCATAATTTTATATATATATATATATATATATATATATATATATATATATATATATATATGTATATAGAATGTATATAAGAATATGTATTTATGAGTATATATATACACACATATATAAATAAAATCTTTATAGAGCCTTGTGAAATCAGCAAGAAGTAGTTGCCACCCTTTCACGGAGCAGAAAACCAAAGTTGGGAATGAAGAGTCTATTCAAGGTCACGCAGGTGTGATTTAGGAGGTGGCTGCTTTGCTCATGACTCGGTAGGTAAGTCCCTGCTCACATCTACTCTGAAATAGAATATACTTCAGCCTCTTCCAGATGTGCAAATGCATTTGATTTCCTCTGATCGTGTCCTATCAATACAGGCAAGACCAAGGCTCCGGGCCATTTTGCATCGAGGAAAACTGCAGAATCCAGAGGGTCCACCTGGAGTTTTCCGGCAGCCAGCCAATCTCCTCTCAATAAGCAGACATTTCCATGAGCGGCTGTTGTGGACCCAGGGCTGTGCCCGGAATCATGGGGAGAGGGGAGATCATGAGATTTTTTTTTTTTTTTGCACAGGATCTGTGGTCTAGTTTAGAAGAGGGGGCTGCTCCTTCTCGGAACTCAGATTCTTGGGTTTGTGGCTCAAGATTCTGGGAAGCTGTGAGTATGAATGATGCTCTAATTTCAAGTTTTCATTTGCTTGCCAGAGAATTCGAATTCCAGAGTTATCCAGGAAAGAAGATGTGGAGCTAGGGAAAGAATCCATGAACATGTTCATCTGTTTCCTCATTAATTCATTCATTCATTCATCCATCCATTCTTTTATTGTGCCCTTCATGGACAGTAGAGATCCCCAGGCTTATGGCTGAAGTCACAAACATTTATTTTTTCATTAGAGAGTGTTAGTTTCTGTAATCAAACCCAAATAGCTAAGACACATACTAAACACAATATATTACTCTTCACTCATAGACTTAAAACAAGTGCCCCCACCAAACCCAGGGGGTATATGTCTTTAATCCTAGCACTTCAGCACTTGGGGGTGGGGAGCAGAGGGAGGCAGATCTCTGTGAGTTTGAGACTAGCCTGGTCTACAGAGTGAGTTTTAGGATAGCCAGGGCTACACAGAGAGACACTGTCTCAATAAAGCCAAACAGCACCAAATTAAATGCCCCCATAACTTTATCACAAATGTTTGTTGAGCACCTACTATGTGCTGGGCATGCAACACACAGGATAAGCTTAGGGCGTGGTGTAGGTTTTGAAATTGGGTTATTTGAGTCATGAAAAGGTCTGTGCACTCACACCCACCCATGATACACAGCTTCATGATAAAATGACCTCACCACCAGCTGGAGTGATACAGCATTTCCACTCGGCCTAGTCACCTCGCATGCCTCTCCAGTCCCATTGCCCTGCTCCCCCTTCTCCTAACTCCCACTGACACTTGGGGTGCACAGCCCCCTTAATTTGATGTTTAGGGTTTTGCTTTGTCACATATGTTTTTGACCCACAGAGAGAGAAGACCCCATTTAATTTTGCTTGGCCTGGACTTGACGACAGCACCCTGCAATGTATCTTCCTCAGCCTGCTCTCCTTCCCACGCTCTGAGGGTCGCCTCGTTCACGCCTGTGGGGATCCTCTACTCATTCCCTCAGCATGGAATTCCACCGGCAACTAGATCACACTTTGTTTATCTGGTTTTCTCCTGAAGGTTATCTAGGTTATTTCCATTTTTTTTTTCTTTTTCTGTTACAAACAATGCCACCTCTTAATCCGGTCCTTTGATGTACCCAGCAGGAGTGTTAGGTGTACAGGGTGGAACTGTGGAGCCTTTGGGCCCATTTTGCTTAATACAAACTAAAAGTAGTTGTACCTGTTTGATAAGTGAAATATCCCCCGGTAGTGGGTAACTCCATCGATACAACAAATCAGATCAGGCCAAATCAAACTGAATTAAAGTCCAGGTTTTAATCTGAGCAAAGCATTCCTCGGATGGTCCTGGGGTGGTCCGGGGGTGGTAGGGGGAGAGAAACCACAAGGCCAGTCTCCGGGCTGGGTCTTAAATACCATGTAGGCATGGTCTTGAGCATCTCAAGGGGAGGAGCCGCCACTTGGCGGGCTTTCTCAGTGGTGGGGTCTGGAGAGAGATGGGGCCAAGGTGGGGCTTCCGCCTAAACACTTTTAAAACTGAAGGAGCAGGCAGCTGGAGAGCTGACTCAGCAGTCAAGAGCACTTGGTGCCCTTGCATAGGACCAAGGTTCGGCTCACAGCACCCACATGGCGCTTCACAGCCGTTTGTAACTCTAGTTCCAGGCTCTCTGGCCCCTCCCTCTTCTGCTCCACAGCGTTAGGCACACATGTGGTGCCTGGACAGACACACAGGCAAAATACTCCTACATGTAAAGCAAACCAATCTTTAAAAACGAAACAAAACAGGCCGGGCAGCAGTGGTGCACACCTTTAATCCCAGCACTCGGGAGACAGAGGCCTCTGTGACTTCGAGGCCAGCCTGGCCTACAAAGTGAGTTTCAGGACAGCCAGAGTTGTTACACAGAAACACCCTGTCTTGAAAAACAAATACAACAAAACAAAAATTAAACAAAACAAAACCGAAGGAAATCCTTTTGAAGGGCTCTTTGGGCTCAGGTTAGGGGGCTCTATTGACTCACTAGAACGTCCTGAACCTGACCTTGGGAGATATCTAAGCATATCATTTACATGGTAATTCACAGAGCACGGCACACTTTTGATCGTTTATCTCAGAGCTGAGCCTCTGAGGTTGGAAACACAGGCTGTTATTGACTGACCCTTCGGAGAAACTTGACTTCTGGTTTGACACAGGAGAACCAAGAAAGACGGAGGTGGAAGCTTGGCATTTGTGCCGTGGCATGTGGGCTTGGAGAGATTTATTCTCGTGCCCTTCTATTTAGAACTCAGTTCATCAGCCTTGGCATCAAGGCCATGGCTAAGTTCCGGTGGAGATGATCGCTCCTCTCTCCAGTTCTTTTTCCTCCGCTGTCCCACCAATAGTTATTATCCTTCTTTTTAATTTTTGGCTGAGTAATACCTTCAAAGAGGTGGAAATTCAAAATGAAGGACAGCACTTTGGAAAGACTCAATCCTACTTGCCCAGAGTCCCCTATGAAAGGTAACCCACTTTTATTAATTTCTCAGCTGCCCTCCTAGAATTCTCTTTATGTAAAAGTTACTGTGCAAATTTTCTATGATAGAATAGATAGAGTATTATTATATCCGTGTTTCTGACATGGAATTTTCAAGTATCAATGCACCGTGAGTTAAGAACGGTTGTGTCAACAGCTGTGATTGCATTCACAAGACCAAGCCAGCCTACATCCCATAGAGGATGGGGTGGGGCAGGAATCATGAAATCCCATCAACATTGGCAGTTGGTGACTGGGGGAGGGGTGGTGTCAGTTTTCTCCAGGGATGCAGCCACTGGGAGGCTGCCATGCTCCAGGAGATGCTTCCACACAGGCAGCACTAGAGGGGCTCAAAGGGTTCTAAAAAGAAAGCACATTGAGTTGGGAGGGGAAAATGGCAGGGGTGAGACATAGGGGGGCGTGGAAGGGGTGGGAATGGGGGGGGTGGACTTGATCAAAACACGTGAAATTCTCAAAACAGAAACGGTGAAACAAAAGGTAATGAGGTTTTTTAAATCTTAATCAAATTTATGTATTTATTTTAAAAAAAATAGCTACGCAATAGTCCATCGTCTCTCACTAATGTTCATTTATCCCCTACTGTCCACCTATCTATACAGCTGAGGGCCAAGGGGAGGGTTTAAAATGATGAATCAAAACACGCCTTCCCTAGGGACTGGGAGCCCGAGGCAGAAGAATATCAAGTTCAAGGCTGTGTATCAATAACAACAACAAAAGACGAAACTCAAAATAAATAAATAAATAAATAAAAAATAAAAACCAAACCCCAAAACAACGAAAAGTACCTCTTCCCCCCAACAAAAACAGAAGTAGGTCCTGCCTTCAAGGGGACCACAGAGGAAGCGTGGCCAACAATAGCAGCTGCTTCTGGAGTGCCAAAGGCTCTTCAGCACTGCTCTGGACCAGGGGAGGATGAGGGCAGAAAGAGCCGTGCAAGTCCCCGGCTGTGGCTCTCCTGCCGGAGTAGAGCTGCTACTGGCCATTGCGACCAGAGAGAACAGGGCGGCTGCTATGGCCTCTGCCAGACTTGGACCATCGACAAGGCTGCACCGGGGGTGCCAGAGCCAGGTGTCTGACTGCAGGTAGAGCTGGAGAAGCTGCCTGTGGCTGAAGGCTAGCCAGGCCACCGACTGGGCAGCGGTGGGAGAGCTCTGTTATGTGGGAGCCAAGGGAAGGAAAAACGGGCATTTTCCCAAGTCCCCTCGGGCAGTCTGGGGCCTATCGTCCAAGCCTCGTTTGCTTGATGATAAGATTTGGCTTTGTTTTTTCCCCAGGCCCCAAGGGTATATGGCACAGGAGTCCTGGCCTCGGCTCTTACCCTTCAGCAGCCCAGGCGGGCTCCTTTGAGCAAGACTGTGGCGAGCAGGGTCAATAGGATCAGTAGGAGAAAGACTCAGGTCTTCTCCTTGAAGAGGACCTGGGATGTGCTGCCACAAACCCCCACCTGGTCCTCCAGTGGGTGCCACTGTGGTGGGCCAAAGTCCCTGTGCCCGCTGGCATGGGTACTAAGGGCCAGTCTTGAACTCAGAGTCACGGTGGGCTGCTGCGGCTCACAGGGAGCCCTCATTTTTGATCACCTTAGTTCACTGTGGCCTGAGGCTCGGTCAGCACATCTCCCAGTTGCAATGGGAGAGTTGTGAGTCTCCAGGCCCACAGGTTCCCCGCTCCCATTTGGAGTATTTAGTCCATGCTCTGACTCGGAGGAGAAAACAAGATGCGTGCCATGGGCTCTGTAAGGCTGTAGCAGAGCCTTCCCTTCAAGCTGCAGTGTGTCCAGCAGGGCCAGGCCAGCACTCTGTCATTCCAGCTGAAAGCTTATCGTGTTCTCAAGACCGATTCACGAGTGGGTGACCTGTCCGCAGGAGGACTTACCCTGGTGTCGGGTGCTGTTGCTGATGTCTTGAAATTCTTAATTTTTGAACAAGCTCACTTCATCACAGGGCCCTGGAAAGGAGGCAGTTTTTGTTGTCTGCGCTTACCCTGATGTCTTTTGCTGTTGTTTTTTGAAATAGGGTTTCTCTGTAACCCTGGCAGTCCTGGAACTCACTCTGGGCCTTGAACTGAGATCAGCCTGACTTTGCCTCCCACATGCTGGGATTAAAGGCGTGGGCCACCATGGCCGGCTCTTTTTTTCTTTTCTTTTAAGTTGAAACGTGAACACTATAGTTTCTCCTTATCCAAGGAAGCACTCCTGGACCCACCACAGATACCTAAAGTCACAATCCACACATGCCTATGATCAAGTTTAATGAATAAATTAGGTACAGCAAGAGATGAACAACAATTGATAATAAAATAAATGATCCTGAGTCTGTACAATAATAAAAATGATGGAGACGTATATTTCAAAAATAATGTACTATTCTCAACCTTGTCCCTTTGTGGTGAGACGGGATGATACCACATCTGTGTGATGAGATAAAGTGAGATGAATGACCTGGGCATCGTGACATGGCTCTAGGCTCCTATTAACAGAGGCATTGGAAATGATGAATGTTGATATGACAGCTGAGACAGCTCCAGGGACTGGTGGGTGGGTAGCACATACACCGTGGACACACTGAATAGAGGGATGACCGGCCTGGGTAGTATGGTGGGTAGCACATACACCGTGGACACACTGAATAGAGGGGTGACTGGCCTGGGTAGTATGGTGGGTAGCACATACACCGTGGGCACACTGAATAGAAGGATGACTGGCCTGGGTAGTATGGTGGGTAGCACATACACCGTGGGCACACTGAATAGAGGGATGACTGGCCTGGGTAGTATGGTGGGTAGCACATACACCGTGGGCACACTGAATAGAGGGATGACTGGCCTGGGTAGTATGGTGGGTAGCACATACACCGTGGACACACTGAATAGAAGGATGACTGGCCCGGGCAGAACGGCACAGGCATTCGTCACACTACTCCAAAGGACATGTGATGTGAAAGTCGTGAGTTATTTATTTCTGAAATTTGCTGTTTAATATTTTTGGTTCACAGTTGGCCGTGGGTAACTGAGACAGCCACCACAGACCGAGAAGGGACTGTCATTGTTCTACAAAGGATGAAAACAAAGGAGGTGCTTATTAGTTGTTTGTACATTTAGATACGGTCCATACGTTCATTGTGATGCTAACGTTGATGCACACCCACACACCACACATCCCTTCACAGTCTGACTCCCAGGAGAGCCATGCGTGTGTGTGTGTGTGTGTGTGTGTGTGTGTGTGTGTGTGTGAGAGAGAGAGAGAGAGAGAGAGAGAGAGAGAGAGAGAGAGAGAGAGAGAGAGAGCAGTGCATAGCGTTCACCTCTGAAGGACACAGACAGTGGTCTGCTAGGGATGCACTCTGTTCCTGTGGCTGCTGCCCATGGCGGTTTGCTTCCTACTTCAGAGCTAGGCTGGGGGCAGACGGGGTCCTCGAGTCCCCTGGTTAGTGCCTTGAGCACCAGTCAGGTGCTTCTTCCTACAGGTTCAGATTAACACCTCAGATCTGCTTAGGACTCAGGAAAGGAGACTCCTGTGGAGACAGGGAATGTCTGCAGTAGGCATGAGGCGAGAACCTGACCATGGAAGACCCTGAAAGTTCATCCTGTCCACCTCCTTCAGACTGGGCCACCCTATCTGTGCTGCTGAAGCCAGGAGAAAAAGAAGGTTATATCCTGGAAACGTGGGCCACAGAATCCATATGCTCTCTAGGTACGTCGCCCTGGGACTTGTCTCTGGTTTTGCTTTGTCGCCTGAATCAAGGATCCTGAAGTTTTTACCCAGGACACTTGAATTCTTACCCAACAGCCCAGGTTCAACATACCCGGAGCCTGGGAACAAGCCTCAACTGCCTACTTGACAGAAACAACCAGCTTTTCCAGTGTCCTCAGAACAAAGGCCACAGCCTGGAAGCAGAGGACACGTCTGCCCCCTGGTGGTCAGTCACCAAATCATCACGGTGCCCTCTGGGGGCAGGATTTCCCTGGACAGCAACTTTGAGTCCTCAGGAATATAGCAAGCTGTCCGTCGCCCCAGGCCTTGGCCTCGCTGCTCCCTCTCCTAACGTGCCCTTCCTGTAGCCCATCCTGTAGCTGTGAGCCCAACTGTCACCTCCACAGGAAAGCCCCCTTGCACCCCTTTGTCTGAAACAGCACCTCATTGCGGTCATCTGTTCTGCTTCGTGCCTGCTGCCTCTCTTTCTCCAGATGTCCTTTGGGAGAAAAGGACATGTGTTATCAGTGTCCTCAGTGCCATGTACAGAGAAGGCATCAAAAACACTTGCTGAAGAAGTCAACATGTGTGTCTGCAGCAGCAAGTGGGACTTAGATGCATCGTCTGGTCCTCAAACCACAGTGGGATACGGGGGACTTTGGGACCGCTGATCTGGCAGATGGGCACACTGAGGCCTGGTCAGTTATGGGAGCTGTTTGAGCACCTGGGAGGCAGGAACAACAGCTTCCCGTCTTGCTTCCTCACTTCTTCCTGGAAGAAGCCGCAGGAGGTCTCAGGCCTGTTGGCTTCTGCCTGTCAGGAGGAGTGAGTGGTCCATGTCCTGGCTCCTCCGCCTGGCTGAAGCAGAGCCACACTGTCAGCGTCATCCGAAGCTATAGGTCCGCAGCGCTCAAGGGAGCAGCCTGTCTGCAGAGATGAGCAGGACTGTGTCAGGGGAGGGGAGGCAGAAGGTATGAGCCATCGAGACTCCTGTGGCGCCTTCTCTGGGGCCAGGATTTGCCTGGGACACTCTCTCCTGCTGCCCTCCTGGCTTGGTAGGGGCACGCCGGGGACTGGTGGGGTTGAGCTTGGAGTGAGTGGTCTGCACACAGCTGCGGGTAGGAGTCTGAAGGACGAGTCCAGGAGTCAGCAGCACCTGCTCTTTGGCTGGCCTGGCGAGAGCTTGATAGAGTCCACAAGGTGATTCTCTACGGTGCCTTGGTACTAGGGAGGAAAGAGGAGTCAGTATTCACAGCCTGCGGTCTAAAGAGCCCTGACACTTGGCTTCTCAATGGGCCCGGGAGCTGGGCATTCTGTCTTCCTTCTGTGATATTGTTGGGAAACTGAGGACCAGAAGAGAAGACCGTGCCTTCCAACCTTCTCCCTTCCCTCTCTGTCCTGCCTCTTTCCAGGAGTCCAGAGTATTTCAGTGGAAGGATTATAGGATCTCAGGCACCTGACTTCTGGTCAGGTCTCATAACTTCCCATTCCCCAGAAGGAACAATTGAGGTGAGTGACATTTGGGCTTGGGCAGAGATGGACAGCTAACCCCTCATCTCTGATGGATACTCGTCCCCACAAACATTTCAATACCCCCAATATTCTTTGTGCCTGGGCCCTTCCTGTCTCTTATGGCACCTGGAGGAGCCCAGCTGGCCTCCGTCCCCATCCCAGCTGTAGGGAGACTTGCCCTTCCAGTTCGGTGTCTCCATGCCACTTTTCTCCCTCTCTGTCAACTATCCAAACCCCTGTCCCAACAAACACCCAGAGAAGGCCCCTGCCCACCTAACAAGCCCCTTCGTGCCTGCCCAGCTCTCTTTCTAAGAGCCTCCCATCCCTTGGTTCCAGGGAAGGCCAGGAGTTCCTCAAGGCCATGGATTTCTCTCTTCCTTTTTTAAAGACAGGGTCCCCCTATGGTTGGAAATCACAATCCTCCTTCCTCTGCCTGGGTGTTAGGGTTACAGGCTCTAAGGCCACGGGTCACAGAGACAGAAATGCAGCTGTTGCTGCTTCTGGATTTATTTTTATTTTTTAATTATGTGTAGTGGTATGAGCCTACATATGGGCATGTGCATACAAGTGATGATTCTCAAAGGTGGCCCGAGGTTAGGTGTCAGACCCTCTGGAGCTAGAGTTGTAGACACTTGTGACCCACCGGATGTGGGTACTAGGAACGAAACTGGGGTTCTCTGGAAGAGCAGACGTGCTGTTGACCACTCCTGCTTCACTCTTTTCCCCTCAGGTGTCACACTCCAGAGCCAGAGTGCTGTGAGGCCCCATCCCGAACCCCCACGTGACAGCTCGGGAAATGTTTACAGGATGGGACAGTTTTCATTTTATGCATGGGGGAACAGGCTCAGGTCAGTCATCTGTTTTGACAGGTATGCACACAAAGCTGCTAGCCCAGGACTTTATCCAGGTCAGTCTGACTGCAGACACCGTGTCTGTGACCTCCAGGCCCCGGCTCAGTCTCCTGCACAAGTATCAGGAACTGTGGTGAGCTGCCAAGCTCTCCTTTTGCCGAGAAAGGATGTTAGCAAGAACAAGCATCCCTAACAGCCTCACAGGATGAAAGTGACATCATAGGAAGGATATACTTTAACTCCAATTAATGGGAAGGAAAGGACACTCTCCCCTGAAAGGGCAGATCATGGCCGTGTATGTACACTGGCAGTAGGCTGGGGAAGATTCCTTGTGACTGAGTGTCTGGCAATAATTGCGCCACATTATCCTGATAAGTTGTGATCAGCCGTCCTGGCTAATGGTACAGGCATGCTCACCTGCATATTCGGAGCCTGCTTTGCTGACTGTGGCAGAGCTACACTCACCGACCATACACTAAGTACTCCTGCTGTTCTTCCTCAGGAGGCAGTAATGGCTGGAGGCTGACCTGAGGTCCAGGCTGGGCCGTGCGAACGGAGAAAGCTCTTAACTTTCCCTTGCGCAGCTGCTGGAGGCAAATGTTGTCTGTCCCGCGTCTTGGGACCTTCCCTTCAGGACAACATGGGTCATGCAAGTCAGTCAGTTACCCACAACGAGGTCAGGATGATGGCAGCCAGCCATTTCCACCTAGGGGATGCCTCCAATCTCCTAACCATTCCTTGCTCATATCCTCCACTTAAAATCGTTGCTCTGGCAATGATCACTTTTGTTTGTTTGAGACAGGGTCTCTCTATGTAGCCCTGACTGTCCTGGAACTCACTGTGTGGACCAGGCTGGCCTCGAACTCACAGAGATCCGACTGTGTCTGCTTCCCGAGTACTGGGATTAAAGGCGTGTGACACTACGCCTGTTCCCTTCTCTTAACTCAGGGTGGCAGGACAAGGTCGCCAGATGAACCCCACGTTGTGTCAAACTTTCAAACTCCACGTTGTAACACTAAAGTTCTGCCATTAGCTGGGCATGGTAGCACACACTTGTGACCCCAACACTGTAGAAGTGGAGGCAGGGGACTGTGAATTAGAGCTTAGTCTGGACTGCAGAGTGAGACCGTGTCTCAAAAAACAAAATTAAAACCTATAGAAGCAAAACCCACAATTGTGTCTCGGTGGCCTTCAGTGGCCGCTCCCGTCACGTGGGCTGTCTGTCACTGGGCCCCTTCCCTGGACTCCATCACCAAGTCCGCTCCAACCATGCAGAATTGTGTTGCAGTCACTCATGTTCCTTGTCTTCCTCTTGAGTCTGAGGATCCCCAGCCGCCTGCACAGTGTCTGGGACACACGCCACACTCAACACAAGCTGTTGACGTCATCACATCGAAGCGCCTGGGTCTGTTTATCTTTCCGATTGGAAGCTGTCAGCAGCTCCTATAAGCTGGAGATCCCACTTGACTTAATGCAAGCTTGGCTCCACCAGACTTCTGTCCCACAGTGAGGACTGGCTTAGAGACCACTTCTCAAATCCTCACTGAATTAGAATCCCCAGGCACCAGGCACAGGACTGACATTTTAAATACTCCACAAGGGATTGTGATAGCTGGCCAGACGACGAGTCCAACCCCTTGCTCCCAGGTACTTGATGCTTCCGGCATCCGTGGCACCAGAATTGCTGAGCCCATCCAACTACTAAATAATTAAAAGGATGAATACTCGCATCCCCTCCGAGTCCTTACCTACACCCACATTTTCTTCCTTGGGAGATCCTGAGGACCTCTGCCTAGGGCAGCTCTGACGAGTTCCACCACCACATCACTTACCCTCAAGAGTGCCCGGCTGGCCAGAACCTCAAAAGCTTGTACCACATTGATGTCATTCTTGGCACTAACTTCAAAGTAAGGCATGTCCTTCTCTTTACACCATCCATGGGCCACCTCCTGGGACACCTGTGGGAGAGAAATGATCACTGTGTCCGTATCGCTGTGGCCACAGCCGCGGTCCTTGTTGCTGCTGTGGTTTCGGTGTGGCTTGTTCCCTCCAGAACCCGTGCTGAAATTGCTGAGGATAAAGGGGGTGAGACCTCGAAGGGAGACTAGGTCATTAAGAAGAACTAACATGGCACTAGGAGGATAGCTTAGTGGGTAAGAGTATTCCATGCCTAAGTATGAGGACCTGAGTTCAAATCCCTGACACCCACACAAAAGCTGGGTATGATCATAGATGCCTGAAATCCCAGGGCTGTGGGCCAGAGACAGGTAGAGCCTGAGAAGTCACTGGCCAGTCAGCCTCAGAGACATGGCAAACTTCCAGTACCACGAGAGACTCTGTCTCAAGGGAACAAGGACATTCATGACAGCGCAGGACAGCTGATGGCCTCCTTAGCCTCTGCCCATGCATGGACGTATACTCCTTTCTCCACACACACACACACACACACACACACACACACACGCACGCACGCACGCACGCACGCACGCACGCACTCATGCCTGCTCCCTATACGTGCATATACATTTCAAGAAGAAAAGATAAAAAGAGATCAGCACCCAAGGGAGTGAGGTCTCTTTTTTGTGGGACTGAGAGCCGTCTGTCAGAAAGTGAGGCCACCCCTCAGCTTTTGACTCTCTCCCCTTTCTCTTCCATTTCCTGCCGCCACCACCACCCTCCCTCCCAACCATCACCCCAGCCCCTGTGATCATGGCCACCACCCCTCTTGATGACTGAGAGCCCCTCCTGTGTCTGCAGCTCCATAGTTTATCTTTTCAGTTCCTAACATGAATCTGTGAGGTGGGTGTTGCCAACGCCATTTTACAGATGAGCACCTGGAGCCATGGTTCTCAACCAGTGGGTCCCGACCCCTTTGGGTTGAACGACCCTTTCACGGGGGTCACCTAAGGCCATCCGAAAATACAGATATTTACATCAAAATTCATAAAAGTAGCAAATTACAGTTATAAAGTAGCAACAAAAATACTTTCATGGTTGAGGGTCACCACAACATGAGGAACTGTATTCAAGGGTCACAGCATTAGGAAGGTCGAAAGACACTGACCTGGAGAATTACCTTTGCCCAGGATACACAGCCTGGGCAGGATTTGGACATGGACCTGGCAGAATTAGAGCCCGCTTCACTCTCTGGCTTTCTAAGTTCTGGCTAGAAGCTTCCTCCCAACATTGGCTCCCTCTTCAGTCCCTCTAAAGGAGATGGCCCCAACAGACACAGGGCAGGCAGGGTGGGAAGGGGGAGCTCCCTCTCTGCCTCCCTGCCGACTGAGCAGATCTGTGCCAGGAGGGACTCTTTTCCCTAGGGGACAGACCCTAGGTAGAATAAGGTTATCCTTATTCACTGTTAGGCACATCATCACATGTCAACTTACTTACCTAAGGCCCCCACTAGCTATGAGATGGATGCTATTAGCTTGACTTTAGAGGCAGGAACACTGAGGCTCAGAGAGGTTCAGAAACATACCCCTGATCACACAGCTCAGGGGAGGCAGAGCATGGATGCAGGCCTAATGTAGCATTCCCCTGGCATCTGAATTGCCCCTGGAGGACTCTTTGTGAGAACCTTGATCTTCTTTACTGTTGCCCCCATGAGACTCCAGGTTCCTCCAGTTCAGGCTGAGGACCTTTTTATTCTCAGCCCCTATATGTGAGCGAGCTAAGAGAGGACATTGCTTCTAAGTGCAAACAGCTGGATGCAGCTGAGGGCTGCTGGGTATGCCCCACATCCTTCTGAATTACTTGAGGGGTGACTCGTACCAAAGAGTGTGATGTCTCACTAGTTATTTTAAGGGGAAATTACTATGTATCTTATATTTGCTGTGGCTGGTACTTTAACATTATTTAAATTTATTTAAGGGGATCAAGCTCTTTTTCCCAGAGAAAGGACCATTTGTGCCTTTTCCTAGAACACAGGGCAGGCAGGGGAGATGAAAGACCCCCCTTTATCACACTGTCTCCCCGTGCTTGAAGGTTCTGGGAACACCTGTCTTCCTGAGATTATGAAGTACCATTGTTGTCCACTGTCTCTCTGGTTCCTGCCCTGCTGGGCTCAGGACTGGCAGGAATGCCCAGTGGCTCACGTCTTCTTTACACAGTGCCTCTGTTGACCACCAGCTCTGGCATTGTAAGGTTCACAACATAAGACTGTGGTCAGCAGAGCAAGAATGTCCAGGCTCAGTCTTAGCCTCTGATGCCTAAGATTTTCCTGCCTTTGGGAAGAGGGACCCCAGCATTAGTGAGGAATAGTACCTCCTACGGGACAGATGCATGGCCAAGATCTGTAAGCCATCAACAGTCCTCCTAGATTGGGGCAAATCCTAGAATGTTTAGAGGGAGACTTGGGACGTCTGTACTAGTAACATGCAGATAAATGATCATTGGACGTTAATACCTTAGAAGCCCAGGACTGCATCCGAGGCTGATCACTCACTGAGGGAGCTTGGGAGACATGCCATTGGTTGCAGCTGCAGCGGCAGCTCTGCTGTCCCTTCAGTCAGCTCTGCTGTCCCTTCAGTCAGCTCTGTTGTCCCCTCAGTCAGTTCTGCTGTCCCTTCCCCGAAGCAGCAGACCATGCTGGAGGTGTCCTCCTGGTAAGACCCACATTCATCTTATCCCCCGTCCCCTTTCTGATGGGTCTCGAAAATGACTGAGCAGAATCTCCAGAGCATCAGTCGAGACTATGCTCCAGCGGCCTCTTTCTGGGTCTCCAGGCCCGCCCCCTACAGAGGGCTGGCTGGAGAGAAGCCATGGAACAGCACTTTTAGTTCTCTCTGCCAATTCTAGCTGTGATTTCATGACTTTGAAGATCATCTTGTCTTCTATTTATGAAGTATAATAGTTATTTATAACTTAAGCTCAGAGAACTCGAAAAGTAACTCCAAGACGTGGTACCTGGGGACTACTGTTACTTTCACAAGTTTTGCTTTTGCTTACAATGGGCTGTTAACATTTGGTTCTGCTCACTCATTGAGAACCAGTGTTTGACAAAAACTAGGCCAGATTGCAAAAAAAAAAACAAAAAAAACTATAATTTTTTATTTATTTTACAATGTATGTGTGTGTGTGTGTGTGTGTGTGTGTGTGTGTGTGTGTGTGTGTGTACAAGTGTGGACATCAGAGACAAGTTGTAGGAGTCAGTTCTCTCCTCCCATCACATCTCTCCCAGGCATCAAATTCAGGTAGTCAGGCTCTGTGGCCTTTACTGCTGAACCGTCATGTGGGCCCCTATCTGCATAATTTTGGTTTTGATGCATTCTCCTTGTATATATTTAAAATGATTGTTATATAAATTTAAAATTAATATATCTGGGAGCTGGAGAGGTGGTTCAGCAGTTAAGAACTTTTGCTGCTCTTGGAGAGGACCTGGGTTTGGTTCCCAGCACCCATATGGCGGCTCAGTTACTGACTGTAGCTCTGGTTCCAGGGGATCCGATGCCGTTTTCTGGCCTCTGCAGGCACTGCATGTATGTGGTGTGCTTACGTGCATGTAAGCAAAATACTCATACACATAAAATAAGAATAAATAAAACTTGAAAGGAATCAGCATATCTGATACTAGTTAGTAAACCTCCAAGAATAACCAACAGTATTGTAGGAGACACCATCTCAGTTCCATTAGGGGTAGGTCAGAACTCACATTTGGGCGTGGAGTAAGGCATTAAAGTTCCCGGAAATAAATCCCCCACAGCTCAGATGTTAGAGCCCCTTTCTCATGAACCAAGATTTTCCACTGTTGACTTCTGTGGAAGGGTTGTTTTTTTTTTTAAACGAAGATAAGCCAGTAATTTCTTTCAAATTATTCTGGCTATATGTGTGTTTGCATATGTATGTGCATCTTTATTGTAGTAAGATACACACCACATATAACTTAATATTGTAGTTATGTCTAACCGTATAATTCAGGGCATTAAGTATATGCCCTACTGTTGTGTGACCATTGTCATTCCTTGAGTCCAGAATTTCCTCCTCCCCAAATCTAGCAATGTACTTTTAAACACTTATTTTCCTTTAACTAAGTAGGAAAAACTAAGCCAGGTGGCAGCGGCACATGCCTTTAATCCCAGCACTTGGAAGGCAGAGGCAGGAGGATCTCTGTGAGTTCGAGGCCAGCCTGGTCTACAGAGTGAGTTCCCGGACAGCCAGGGCTGCACCGAGAAACCCTGTCTCAGAAAACAACAACAACAAGAGTAGGAAAAGCTACTTTTCCAGACCTGTTCCTAAGGAAAACACAATTACAATGTTTCCATCAACCCTCAAATAATACAGAGAAATCCATCTTCTGGTTTCCATGGCAGAGAAGAGGTTGGAGTGGACCCGGGGCATACAGGGAACACGGTGGACCATCGGTGGGCCATCGCTCAGCTGGGACGTTGAAAGAGATGGTGCCTACTCCCTCAGCTTTGTTCTAGAGAGTGCAAGCCTCCCTGGATACAGTCACTTGGCTAGTCTTTATTTTCCTCGTCCCAACCAGGGGTTAACAATCTCTTTGCTAAGTCGGCATCAGAGTAAGGAGATGTGAGGGCAGGAGCCGCCGCTCCTTAGTTCTTGGCCCTAACAATATGGGGTCTTTGTGGTAAGTCTCTCCACTTTCTCCTCCCACTTCCTCTTCCCTGAACTCATTTCCTTATTGTGCAGTACCTCTTACCTCTGATTCCTAGGCCACCTCCCTCCGGACCTTTCTTCTGGGTCACCTTGCTCACAGACAAACTCCCTTCATCTTCCCCAAATCATCCTTTATCCACCCCATCTGGCTGACTTCTGTGTCTCTGGCTTCTCCTTGTGTCTCCATCTCCTTCTCACCATCCCCATCGAGGGCATTCCCTTATCTGCCTCTCCAAGGATGATGTAGGTTTGCCTAGCGTCTCGTTGCTTCTTTCACCCCCTTATTCTTCTTCTCTAAAGCAAAGCACACACACACACACACACACACACGCACACACACACACACACACACACACACACACACACACACACACGCACACACACACCCGGCTTGGCTCAGACTTCTGTCTTAGGAGTCATCACCCCCCTTCACCCATCCAGGCGCCCCCCAGTCATTGACTATTCACAATCTGTTTCCTTTCTCCGTCAACACAAGGCTGCCACTACTCAAGGGAGCCAGAGTTCCTTCTCCGCTTCTCCATCTGCTTCACAGAATCAGGTCCGAATACAAACCTAGTCTTCCTTTTGGTGACCACACCTTTCTCTCTTTTCAACTTCTGCATGCCCATCCCATCCTGCTCTCTAGTATCTGATGCTCCAACTACCCTGCCCCCTTTCCTTCAGGTTTCCTGGGAGCCTTCCCACCCCCACCCTCTGATTCTCTTGCTTGGAAAAGCTGCCATCCCAGGTCCCTTGTTCCTAGCATTTGCTCCAGCAGGGCTGTTGAAACACACCCCAGTGATGCTCCTTCAAGCTCAGCCTCCTCCTTCAGCTGAGCCTTTCGTATTTCATCAATTCTGGTCCGTCCTTCCTCCAGCAGCTCATCCTCTCGTGTTTGGATTTAATCAATTATCAGAACCCAGCCCTGAATTGTATTAATTTGGAGTGGATGAAATTTAGAGAGATTCTAAATGGCCCACCTTGACTGTGATTCTTAGGCCTCCTTTTTGGTTTCCTTCCTCACTGGAGGATGGTACCTCTTACTTCACTGAGAAAACTCTGGCCCCCTTTTCCTGAACTCCCTTAACTTGACCTTCAGATACATGAAAGGAGATGTTAAAATGGATGTTTAGATCTCAGCCTCGTAAGCTGGTAGACTTCAGATGTGCAGTGGGATGGTCTTGGGACCACACATGTCTCCAAGGTTTTATGACGAAGAATCTCTCAGATGACACTAATACTCACAACATGGACACAAAAGGCTTGCAAGGGAGGATTGGCTAGTACTCTTTTGAAGAAAGCTGTATTGTAAACATAATTACACCTGCCTCCCATAGGAGTCAGAAGAGGGCCTTGAGGTTGGTGGTAACATATGGCCTCTGAAGCCTGGTGACTGTGACAGACTGGGGTCTGGCACATACCTGCAGGTTCTCAGGTGAAAGGTCATGAGGCAGAGAGAGAACTGGCTCCTGAGAACATGGCCAGAATGCCTGAGTATGCCTAGGCTAGGCGTGGGTTCCACAGAGGGGCAGCGGGGTTGGAGCTACCAAGAGGATTGATTGAAGCTGAAGGAAGAAAGCAGATTGCAAGAGACTTGTTTCTTCTGGGCACCATGGAATGTTGCCCAGTTAGGGGGTCTGAAGGACCCAAAAGAATGATTCACAGAAGAGGGGCCTTACCACACCTGCCAGGCCGGAGAACACCAAGGTATACGACGAAAGACCCACAAAACAAGGACTGTCCTGTTCCATGACCGCTTCTCAGTCTTCCTGCTTCACTCCAGACAGGATTAGACCCCAGAGCTCCCATCTGACCTAAGCAGGTGGGGACTGGACTTGCAAAGCTGTCAATGAAGTCCCCACTGCAGCTGGTCCAGAGCGGGAAGAAAGGGAGACTTGGGTTCCCGTCTGAGACAGGATGTTCCACGGACACGGAGTTTCCAACCTGAACTGGCCACACAGAGCGGGAGACTCGTCTCCAGTTCACACTTCTGCCCCGTAGTTTTGTTCTTAGGTGTCCCAAAGCTTGCCGGTTCCCTAGCTGCTTCAGGCTGCTCTCCCAGCTTCTCAGATTCTGGATGCCCAAGTCAAACACATCTTCCTCTCTGAATAGGGAGCTTCCTCTCTGCAGGTGAGTGCAGTTGGAAGTACCCTTCTGTCTCCTCCCTTCTCCTGACCACCCTGTACTTCGCAGTACTAAGTTTTGGTTCATTTCTCTTGCGGCTTTCTGTTTGAACCATGGTGAAAACAGAGTTCCATCACAATGACTCAGTTCCCCATCTACGCTTTTCCATTAGAAATACCGAAAGAATGTGGTTCTAACGGCTCCTTTGGGTGTTATTTGGGCTTCAATTGGCACAACATACCTTTGTCTCAATTTTTACAAATTAAGACAACCTCTATTCCTTTTTTTGATAGCAAGGAAAGGTTGGGAGAACTTTCCACTCAATAGCCCTGTGATGGCTACTACCCACACAGGTGGGGCTACTGCCAGCATTGGGGTAGACCAGTTGTCAAAGGTTCAGCGACTCTCCTGGGTATATACGACTTAGTGAAAAATTATTAATTGCCTAGGAAATTTGTAGATCTGAAAACTGATACCTTCAGATCCCTCTGTGACTCTAGGCAGAAATACTGTTCTAAGACTAAATCAGGTTCCTCCAAGACCTGACTTCTGGCTCCTCTCAGGTCCTAAGTCTCCTACTTCCTGTTACTTGTGTCTCAGTTTACATCATCCTGTTTCTTTAGCCTAGAACCCATTTCTTCTAAGAAGCTAGCTCTCTGTTTCGGACTTAGACATCCCTTTGTTCTGATCTCCAAGTCTCCAAAGTGTGTGACTATCATTGCGTTTGCCACATTGTACCATAACTGTCACTCTTAGACCGTGGAGTCCTTGAAGGGGGGACTCTGTCAGCACTGTGAGGCCTAACACAGCATCTGGTATGCAGTTGTTACATAGTTTGTCAATGAATGAATGAGTGAATGAGTGAATGAACTCACAGTACCTTCCTGTCTTCCAGATCGATTTTGTTCCCAAGCACCACCATGGGGTATGACCGCTCCATGGGGATGATCTTTGCCAGGACGTCATCCCTCCAGATACCCAGGGCTTCAAAGGACTCTGGATCAGTGACATCGAACGCCAGGATACAGCCATCGGAACCTTTGTAGAACGTTGATACCATGGAGCGGAACCGCTCTTGACCACCTGTGTCCCAGATCTGGAGGGGAAGAGCAGCGCCCCACAGGCTCTGATGAGTGGCTAAAGGGAAACCTAGCAAAGCTGTATCACACCAAAAGCTTCCTTTCTGGGTGGGGAAAGCCTTGGTGTAGGTGTGCACGGCCCTTCCACACCCAGACAGTGCAGCCCTCCCACTCACATACACCACCACAGCTCTGAGCTCTCACTCTCTAGGCTATCAGGGCAGGGGTTGTTACCTCATCCCCCAACAGTAAGTGTCTTTTGGCTTTGTAGGTCACCTGTCTCTGTTACATTATTCACCTCTGCTATAGTAGGTAAACAAGCGGGTGTGTCTGTGCCCCAGAGAAGAGACTAGAGTTAGCCCATGAGTTGAACTTTGCTGGTATCTCTCCAGGTCCTCTGAACTTCTAGCACGCTTTGCTATGTAAGTGGGTGATTTTCAGGTGTGTGTGTGTGTGTGTGTGTGTGTGTGTGTGTGTGTGTGTGTGTGTGTGTGTTTCAGAGACGGAGGGGAGTGCTCACCTGGAGCTTCAAAGTTGTGTCATCCAGTATGATAATTTTGGAGAGGATGCTGGCCCCCAGTGTGGTCTGGTATTCCTCAAAAAATGTTTTGTGTACATATTGGTGAAGGAGAGAGGTCTTTCCCACACTAAGGAAAAAAAATCCACATATGGTAAATGCATACCTATAAACACACACACACACACACACACACACACACACACACACAGAGCTATGCCGTTGTTAGGACATTACCATGCTCTTTGCACTGCAGCCCTTCCTCGAGTCTTTGAATTATTATTTTTTTAATCAAAGTTGGAGTTTAGGAACGGACTTTGGTACATGAGTGACTTGAGGCTGGAGGAAAGACAACAGTACACACCCCAGGGTGGGCTCAAGTGTCTCAGCAGAGAGTTGCTCAGATTCTGAATTTCTAGTGTCAATGGTCTAAGAGACCACCCTTTGGGGAGCAAAGGATTGGGAACAGTTTCTAGGAGCAAGAACCAACCAAAGTGAGCAGTTTTGGATAAGGTTGAGTGTCCCCCAACAGTGCTCAGATTTTTGTTGGGTGTGGCAGGCCGTGGGAGGACCCAGAGATGCTGAATGGTTACATAGCCAGTTATCACACAGCTGGACCCAAACCAAGAATCTTTTCCCTTCCTTGAAGTAGGATGCACTTCGCTGCCACTCTGACTCGGGAAGGGTCCCTTGGAGGTGGGAGCACAGCCTGGAGGCCTTATGCTCCCAGGCAAAGCTGTTTTCCAGCAAACTCACCGCAGCCGGGCTTGGCTTACCCAAGAGCGCCAACGATGATAAGTTTCAAGTCCACTTTCTTTCGGGGATTCATGAGCAGCTTCAGAGCCTGTGGGCAAACAGAAGTCATTTTCACACTAGCTAGCCTTGTTTGTGGCCATTGTCACTGAGGCTAAGCCTCCCACACCCAGTCACTGCAGCCCTCCCACGTACCCTCCAGGACACCTTCCGAATAGTATTTAGCATGCTGTGACTCCTTTCACATCTGAGCTCTGTTTTCCTCTGGTTTATCAGGATCTCTGTCCTTGGCTAAGGACTCCAGTGAGGCTGTTCTGAAGGACACACACGACTCAGCACCCTGTACACACCCTCCCCTTACTTTGTCTTGCCAAAGTTGCAGATCACTCACCCCTCAGCTCTTCAGAGTCCTGCTCTGGGAGGTAGCCCAGAGTGCCAAACAGCAGGACAGATCTGAACAGAGACCTCGTGCACACAGCACAGCCTAGAGCCAGGAATGGAGGCCAGTGTGGGAAGAGGGGATGGGGTGGGCAGGACAAGGGGTCCATTGTCAGGACTGCCTGGAGCCTTTGGATGGACGAGAGCCCCTCCCCCAGGCAAAGTATGCCGTGCGTGCAGAATCACCAGGCTCTTCGCTGAAGCTGGAGAGGGTGAAATCAGTATATGTTTCTGGAAAGCTACTTGGCAGCATGTGTGGCGAGTCTCAAAATAGGCCTGACCTCTGCTTCTAGGAACTTTTCTTATGGAAGTCACCAGGAACTTGAGCAAAGACTTCAAGAGCATCCTTCCAGTGCTGCTTATAAACACCCACTGGTGAAGAAGTAGTTAGGCCAGGACACACGACGAATTACTTCGTAGTCATCAGAATGGAGTATTTGAAATACTTTATTATATGTGGGAAAATATTCATGCTCTATAATTTGACTGAAAAATTGTTGCTAAATTATGTGTGTGCAATATCGGCTAAGTGTCGACTACTATCACAATTGCATTAATTTTTTTTTTCAGTGTTGGGGATTGAATCCAGGGCTTTGTGAATGCTGGGTAAGCACCATATACACAGCTTCCATGAAATACAGAAGGTATACATTGCAATATAGTTAAATCCAATTAATACCTGTACCACTGAATATAAACAAATGTACCCCTTTCCTGTGAAGAGAACACATGCACGCCCCCGAACTTGACACTGGGAACATCTAGGATGAAACGTGTAGGACCTACTCCAGGAAACATCGGGGAAGAAGGAACAGGGACGAGGACACTAGAAAGTGTTCCCAAGACACAGAAAAGGTATGGTGCTGACAACATGGCGAGCCTGAAGAGGTGAGGCGTATGGTGTCTAGGGGGTGATATTACCTAGAAGAGAATGAAGTAAGAAAATTCTGGGGATGGAGAATGGAAAAGGTGATCGATTTGCTTCAGGGGAGCAAGACCGAGGTGGATTATCCCATTTCATTCATTCAATCAATCAATCAATCATTATTATTCTTCTAGCTACTTGGCAACAATTCCCCGTCTCCCAGGGATGTAGAGGCAGGGAACTAAGGATACTAACCAGGGTTGGCATACTGCAACAATGTTGCTGCTTACAAAGGTAAGCAGCTAAGAAGTGGCTGAGAAGTCTTTGAAAGGGGCGGGCCTCTGAGCATCAGTTATCTCTTCTCAAGGGGCCTGAGAGCAACCGAGTGCTGTTTCCTAACACTTTGGTGCAGTGTGTTAACTTGTCTTAAAAGACCAATACAGTATCTTAAAAGGACTTAGAGTTTCAAAATGGAGGCAGAAAATGGAAAAACTCCAGCAATGGCCGAGCACCGCCAGTGGGTTGTACCATCCTTTGTGCAGCAGGCTAGCCTCACCATAGCCTTGAGGTGAGTGCAGACAGGGCTCAAAGAGCCACTCCACTGGGGATATGGCTCAGTACTACTACAGTTCTGGCTTAACTTGAACAAGGCTTCCATCCCTAGCATACAAGTGTGATGTGGGGTGGGCGGGGGGCGAGTCACTCATAACTGATATATCATCACACTGTGATAACTGGATGAGCTAGTGCTTGAATGGAAGGCCAGAGAAAGCTCTTCCGTGCCGTGGTGCCTTCAGATCTCCAGAGTCTGAAGCCCTGGTGTCTGTGTCCATGAACGTATAGGGCACTGGGCTCAGATTTGTGCTCGACAAAGCCTTAGGCGTACTGGGAAAAGGCAGCTAGAGGGCTGAAGAGGCCCTGTTAGAGCAAGGGACCTGGGGTTGCTGAGCAGGAGCTGTATGTGAGGGACCCACACTTCAGTGGACAGGTGTCACGTGGAGGTGAGGGAACAGACCATACACATCGCCAGGGTTTGCCACACTCTATATGCTGACATTTGTTGGTCAGACATTGTGCTGAGAGCTTTGAAAATATGCAAACAAATAATAGCCCACTGTGTGGGTTAAATGAATTAGTGTGCTATTGTGCTTGGTGTACTGTTGTGATACATTTACTGGCACAAATTGAGGGTTTTTAAGAGTGTTAAGGTCTTAAAGTACTAGCTGTTTTAGGGTACACATAGTATCTGTGGGGTTGCCACTGTTATTATCTCTGTTTCTAAGAACTAAATGTTTCCAGAAACTAATTTAGGAGTTCCTAACAACACACACTCGGTAGTGGGGGAGCCTGGGTTGGAGCAGAGATTTGGATCCAGGCCCAGCTCTAGAGACTGCCTGTGGTAGTTGGTACTGATCACCAGTTTGGGAGGATCCAGCATCACCTGAGAGACAAACTTCTGGGCACATCTGTGGGTGAATTTCTAGATTGAGTTAACTGAGGTGGGAAAATATGCCCTAAATATAGAGGTACCATTCCACGGTCTAGGATACATGGACATGCGTACTGAATACATACATACATACATATGCTTATGAATACAGAGAACACAAACTGAGCGCCGACATCCACCTCTCTGCTTCCTGGCTGCAGATGCAGTGTGAGCAGATGCCCAGGCTCCTGCCGCTGTGCCTCCCCATCCATGAAGGACTGTTCTCTCAAACTGTGAGTCTAAATACGCCCCGATTTCCTCAAATGCTTCGCCAGGCACTTTATCACAACAGTGAGATGTACAATGAGTGCTGCTGGGGTACCCATACACCAGGGAGCCTGCTAGGCAAATACTTGGTTATAGAACCCCACTCTCACACCTTTTTGAGGTGAAGTCTTATGCCATTTCCCAGACTGGCCTCAACCCAGCAATCCCCTGCCTCAGACCCCCAAGTATCTAGGATTGTAAAAGTGTACCACTGTACCAAGAGACTTTGCCCTTAAGTGGAGATGAATGAGACTAACACAGCTTGGCCCTTAAAGGCCCCATCACAGCACATATTTGCTCTACCTGAATGTCCACCAACAACATGCTTTCTTCTTTAAAAATTAAACTAATTAAAAAATTCATATATATGTAGTATATTTACACCATTTCCCCCTACCCTGCATCCTCCCTCCAACCCTTCCCATGTTTCCAACCCTGTCCCCATTCCTTCTCAAATTGATGGTCTCTTTTAATGGCAGACTTTCTACACAAATGCCGGTCCATATAGATTCTGAAATATAAGGTCATTTAAAAAAGGATAAAGTGATGGCGCACGCACGTGCACACACACACACACACATACACACACACACACACACACACACACACACACACACACACTTGAAGTAAAAAAGAAGAGGCAATCTGAGCATTTAACAGAGTGAGATGGAACCAGATTATCAGGAACAAGTACCAGCTCACCGAGTGTGTCTCTGTGTTTAATTCTACACATGTGTGCCCCAGAAACACACAGATAGAAACATGCCATCTAAGGAGAGACAGAGAAAGGAGGCAGAAGAGACCACGAGTTCTCATTCTATCTCAAGTGTCCATATTTTAAAAATGTATTCTGCAATCTTAGTTTCTGTAACTTAAAAATATCAGAAAAAGACTTAACCTCTTTTTTTTTTTTTCTCCCTCAATCCCACCCTGACTCAACCTCTCTTTACAAAGCATGTGTGACTGGGTGGCTGCCCAGAGTCATCTGAGTGTGATTTCCTATTTGGATGAATCACTGTGACTAGGGTGGAGGTCGGGGGTGGCTGCCTCATACCAGGCGATGACCGTGACTTCTGGGGTCAGAGAGCCCTCTCTCTTCCCTAATCTACCCATCTGCGACCTTGATCCCTGAGTATTACTAACTTTTCTATTCTCTCCTGGATAAAATAGACATGACTTATGACTGTGGCTTCCTCTGAAGATGGCATGCGTGTGTCATGTTATGACAGCATAACAGGATCCCAAAGTTAGGGAAGATCCGGAAAACAGCTGAACACCTTTGTGGGGTGAGGGCTGGTGGAAGAGGTCCTCAGATCCAGTTTGCAGAGGTTGCCACTTTTGATGATGTAAACATGTCCGCTATGGCTGGTTTCACACTACAAGTACGGAGCATGCATAGTCCTAGAAGGACCTCAGTGTCACTTGACCTAGCACTGGGCAGTGCTAGGCTCCTGGGAAACAGCCAGACATACCCTGAGTGCTTGTTTCTCTCACTGCGGGTAGTTTCTTCACCCACAAAAATGTTCAATTCCTCCGCAAATGCCAGGCCCTGGGAGGGGCGGTGTTGGAGGGGGTTTCCCTTGCCTCCTCTGATGCTTGTGACTTCTCCACCCCTTTCATTGTCCTGATCCCCTTTCCAGATGTGCCTTGGAACTGCTCTGCCACCAAAGACCCTGTACCCTGATCCCAGAAAAAACGGCGAACATTCTACGAGCCTGACTTCTAAAAATAGCCTTGATCTTCGGTTCAGCACGCAACCCAGGCTGACCCAGTTGGAGGAGCTGGCTTGGGGGCAGACAGCAGCAGGGCTCTCTGGACTACTCCCAGGATTCAGATGGTAGCTGAGGTTCCTTCCCCTGTCCTCTACCCCTGGCTGGGTTGTAGCCACAACAGGCCTTTTCAGCCTCATTCTAGTCGCTGGGGGAGCTTCAAAGAGGGAAGCTGGGGATCTCCCTATCAACAAGGCTGAGTCATCTTCTCTTCTACTGAACAGTGAGTAGCAGGCTTGGAATGCAGGACCAGCCCAGCCAGCCCAGCCCACACAGAGCGGGACTCCAGAGCGGGACTCCAGAGTGGGACTCCAGAGGGACCACCACTTCTCCAGCTCTTCCCAGCCAAAGCCCGGCCCTGCCCATTTGCTACAAAGCAAGGAAGACTGAGTTGAGCACAAGTCTGCAAGAACTCTTGAGGGTCTCAACCATCACCTTTCCACGTCCCCTCCCTCCCTCTCCCACTGGCTCCAGGCAGGACTCAGCCATAGTCTTCTTGCCTTACTTGTCCTGGGTGAGGTCTCATGTATGTCGGGGAGACCAGCGAACAGGGGCGGCTGAGAATTCCGCAGCAGGCCCAGTCTCCCTGCCCAGTATACAATCTACCCCAGATTCTTGTCTTGTCCTGTAGTGTTTCTTCTCCCTCTGACACCCCATACTACATTCATTCTAAAAAAAGGCTGAGTGTAAAGGCTTCTGTTTAGTGAGATTCCCACGGAACATGAGGCTTTGTTGCCTGCAGGGATCACTTGAGAGTTGGCCTCACCCACCCAAATCCTTGCAGGTCCAAACCTGCTTCCTCCACAAAGTACACCCACAGCGCTGCTTTCAGAAGGCTCAGCGTTCTCGTTCTTTAACTTCTTTGGGGAGGTGTTTGTCCTGATTCCCCAAGTAGACTGCCTGTACCCTAGACTGCGCCTCTTATCTCTCTGTATTCCCGTCCCCCAAAAGCATGTTGACTTAAGCTGGGAATGCAGAAACTTCTGAATAGTGATGCATCCGCCCATGTGCCGTCCATCCATGCATGCATTGATGCATCCATCCGTCCATGCATCTGTCCATCCACACACCCACGTAGTGCACGTCTGCTATGCACATACAGCACACTCTATGTCTAAGAATACTCAGAAACTGGTATCTCCATTGGCTCTTTGTAGTAGGGGATTGATCAATAAGCCCAAAGCAATCATTTTTATCAATACACAATGCCTTGCAATTCTAGAACACTTGCATTTTACAAAACGCTGTTATAGCCCAGTGGATTCTGGAGTCAGAAACTAGCTGGTGGGCTGGCAAGATGGCTGAGCAGGCAAAGGTACTTACCACGCAAGCTGGATGACCTGAGTTTTATCTTCAGAACCCATGTAAAGGTGGAAGGAGAGAACCCACCCCACAAAGCCATCCTCTGACCCCCACACGTATGCTGTGGTAAACATGCATACCCATCATGCATACAGAACATCACACACAACAACAACAACAACAACAAACAAACAAGATTAGCAGCCAGCTTAGAGTAGAACCAGGTCTGGCTGTCCAACTCCATTCATTGGCTCATGTATTATGGTTCTTTGCCAGAAGAAATACAGATTAGAAAAAGAGGGATGTTTTCCTACTTTGGGAGCTTGTCTTTCTCTGATAGCCCCCACATCTACATCCCAGAAGGCACCCTGTCTGTGTGCCAAGGAGACGCCAGATGCTGCAGGATTTCTGGCATTCCCTGCAGGTCTAGGGGGCGTAGTGCCATCCTCCTGTGACTGAGCTGCTGTGTCCTGTCTGGCACTGCCACAGAACCCCGAGCTGGGCCCCAGCTCCCTGTGACTGGGAGGGAAGTCCTTTCTCCACCACACCCAGGAACTGTCTGCAGGGCAGGGGTCTTAGGGCTGCATTAAAACCCTGCACCTGCCACATTCTGATCCCCACACCGTTGTTTCTACCCCGGACAGTTCTGGAGCTGCTGGGCACATGGAAGGACAGCTAGGCTGCCAGGACACTCACTGCCACGGCTGCACGGCACTCACCTCACACAGGTGGAAGTTCTGGGTCTGGGCCTCTCTTCCCCGGAGTGGCAGTTTCAATCTGGCCAGTGCTGAGAACGTCAGAGGGTTTGGTAAGAGGCCACTTCCCTCTGAGTTTCCCTTCTTCTCTCTGCTGAACGCAGACTTGGGAAAGTTGCAAAAGAGGCTGGGCCTGGGTGACCTCAGCCGTGTGGGTGGAGGAGGTGGAGTGGATTGGGAGAGCAGCGAGGCTTCAGAGCTGCCTGGATGTAGGGCACCAGGAATATTTACTTCATAAAGGGTTCTGGTCCCAGGGGATGAGGAGTGGCAGGCTTGAGTTGGGAACTTTTGGACAGAGGGCCTGCAAGGTGACATGTCCACTCTATGGGCTTGTAGGAGCATCTGCCTCTGTTCAGGGGAGTCCCAGGAAAGAAGTCCTTTGCTGTTTTCCATGCCCTCATGGTGCAGATTTGGTCCAGCCACCAGGGCACCAGTAAGGTTGGAAGAAGTTCTGATCTTAGGCCTTGCCCTCATCCTGCACACCCCTCACACGCTGGCACACACACAGAGAATATACACATATACATACATCCCTGCCATGCTACACATACATAACACACATATATTTTGTACACCCCCCCCACATCCCTTGTGCCACATCCCTTATATATACACTACATGTGCCCCGTTCCTCACAACTCACACTCTGTACCGCCCACCCACCCCCACTCACTCACATAAAATAAACTCACCGCCCACACCCACACCACATCAGGCTTGTAAGAGGTAAGGCATGTCCTGGCACCCCAAACCCCCACCCTGGGCCCCTCTGGTTAGGTTGTATGGCCCAACCTGAGGCAACAGTAAATTAAAATGCTGTTAGCACACAGTTAACCTTGGCATCTCATTTCACTGAGATGTTCATGGAACATGCCTTGGGTAAGTACAGCTGGTAGATGAAAGGCAGATGGAGGGAGCTTAGACATGACTCCCCAGATCTCAAGGGGTCCCCTTAAGATGTGTTTGATGCACTCCACATTCCTCACGAGTTAGGACTTTGTCTCCTTGTAGACCCAGTCCTTGGTTTGATTACTGTCCTGTCGGAACGGTCTTCCTGGTTCCAGTATCCCCCTCTGATGGGGCTTTCCAGGCACCAGATGTCTAAACCAGCCATAGAACCTTGAGTTTGGAAAGCAGAGCAAGTAGCCTTGGATCCCACACTTGGCCAGTGAACTGCCAGTATGGGTCCTATTAAAGAGCTTTTGGTGGAACAAAAACTAAAGCTTATTTTCTTGTGTCAACCAGCAAGCAGTCTTGGAAGAAGGGACCTAATGATTTCCACACTGAATTCTATACAGGAAAGCTGCGGGATATTCTAAAGCCTGTCTGCACCAGTGAAGTATTCTGGTTGCTCAAGAAGCCAAGGCGATGTGGTGATAACTGATGGTTTATGGAGGCTGCTGAGCTCTTGGACTGGTATCCTTTAGAAGCTCCCAGAGTCTATACCACCCTGAATGTGTCTGATCTCATAAGCAATGCAGAGTTGGGCCTGGTTAGAACTTAGATGGGAGAAGAAGCTTCCCCATATTTTTTTTTTAAGATTTTTATTATTTATTTATGTATATGAGTGCTTTATCTGCATGTACAACTTTATGCCAGAAGAGGGCATCAGATCCCACTAGAGATGGTTGTGAGCCACCATGTGGTTGCTGGGAATTGAACTCAGGACCTCTGGAAGAGCAGGCAGTGTTCTTAACCACTGAGCCATCTCTCCAGCCCAGAAGCTTACCCCATATTATTCTCCTTTTTTTTTTTTCCCTCGGAGACTAGCTTTAAATGAAACTTTGCCTGCGTAGTTGTGTGAATGTGTGTTGTGTGACGATCGCTGGCGAGATGTGAACAAATGTCACTCAGGGAACCAAGTAAGGACACCACCCAAGTCCAGCTTGGTGACCCACTGAGTTGTACTGGGGCTGCTTACAGGAGTGTAGGGGAGGGGCTACAGGAGCAGAAATGACTCAAAGACAGCTGTGTCACCAAAGCTCTCCCAGCATGGGTGACAGCTCACAAAAGCCGGGAATCTGGCGCACACTGCACAATGTGTAAACAGCTCAGCAGGTTGGAGGGTGACTCTTCCAGGCAGCTTGGCTAGTCTCTGCCTCTGCCAAGCACTCCTTACTACTTATTTATGCTTGGAGGGGGAGGGGTCAGGTACGCCTGGTCAGTTTCAGGAACTTCCTGAGGCCTCTCAGTTGTTTACTTCCTGAGCTCAAAGGAAGCATCCCTGAAGAATGGAATGTCTCGCCTCCTTGGATCCCTCGAAGATGGAAAGTTTTATCTCAGAGGAAATGACTGCGCACAAAACCGAGATGATGCTGGGGCAAATACTGTAGAGATGCAGTGGCACGTGAACGTGCAGATGTCACAAGGTCTGTTGACGCTGAGGACCCTTTGGGGTGTGGGAAGTGCCCTGTCTGCAGCTGGATTTTACCGCTTCTGACCAATACGCTGAAATTTGTTCTCTTTAGTGCTGTTTGCAGAACTGTTTCCAGCGCCTTCTGGAAACTGAGACACCAGCTATCAGGCTCCAGCCCCCACTTCCTCCATCCACGTGAATCAGAAGTCAGTAGCTTCCCTTTCCGGCTTCCGTCATGCTGCACTAGAGAAGGCTGCTCCGTTTGCAGCCTGCCACACCCACTGCATTCACTCAGTAGTCCGAGTAGGTCAGACTCTTTGGGGAGGGGGCAGGCACAGATGGATCCTGGAGCTTAACAGTGGAAAAATGACAAAGTAAAGGCATAAGGGGATTCAGAGGAGGAAGACGGCAGTCCTAGGTGAGGTGTTCCAAAGGGGAAGAAGAAGGAATTTGATCTGGAGTTTGAAGGACTGGCAGGATGTGCATGTGTTGGGAGGAGGCATGCGGGCTCAGTGAAAGGGAAGTGACCTGGGAGTAGGCAGAGGAGATGCTGGCCCTCTGAGTGACAGAAGAGAGCTGGCACCTGAAAGGCACCCGGTTCAGGCCAACGCCTTGACTGTGCGTACTCTGTGCTGGAGAGTTCCATCTAGGTTTTGCTTGTTTGTTTAGAGATGGGTGAGGGATGGTGGTGATGGCGTGTTACTATGTGCCCACGCTGGCCTTGAACCTCCTGCCTCTCTACCTTCTGAGTCCTGGGGTTGCAAATGTGGGACATCTCTTCCTCTGTGGTTCTGAGTGACCTGCTCCTCTGATGGAGAGGGTAGGACTCCCGAGAACAGAAGGTGGCAGTGAGGACCTGGGGGGGGGGTCAACAGGTTCTGGAGGGGGTTAAACAGAGGCAGGTCCTGGACAGTCATGAAAATCCTTCCAGCTTCAGTGTCTTTTGGTTCACAGGAGGGACTGCAGGGAAGTGGGAACCAGGGGAGGGTGGGATTCTGGTGACTTTCAGAAATATTCATCAGTCAGGTGCTGGTGTGACATGGGCACAGGGCAGGGGTGTGACGTGGGCACAGGGCAGCGGTGTGACGTGGGCACAGGGCAGGGGTGTGACGTGGGCACAGGGCAGCGGTGTGACGTGGGCACAGGGCGGTGGTGTGACGTGGGCACAGGGCAGGGGTGTGACGTGGGCACAGGGCGGCGGTGTGACGTGGGCACAGGGCGGTGGTGTGACGTGGGCACAGGGCAGGGGTGTGACGTGGGCACAGGGCAGCGGTGTGACGTGGGCACAGGGCAGTGGTGGGATCAGAGTAGCAGCTGGGATGTTCTTGAAACACCCCTGGGAAAGGCAATGCTCATTAGAATGGGACGAAAGGCCAGGTGGTAGCAGTACTTCTGTGACAGAGCTAGTGGGACCCGTGTGGAGACAGTCACCACTTGGTTTGGTCATTTGGCAGAGGCAATGATGTGGCTTACGCGTCATGTCCACCCTCTGGACTTCTTCTGCTTTTCTCAGTCTGCTGGACATGCAGCCCAGGTCATCACATTCTAGGGAACTCGGGCAGAAATGACCCCAAGGAGAGCATCTGCAGGGATGCTGCTCCCAAACTGGTCCCCACTTGGCTCTGGGGATGTTTTGACACTGAGGGTAAATTATGAAGTCTTTTGTCTCAAGGGCCTCTGCTTTTCCTGAGTTTCCCTGATGGGTGAAGGCCTGTACCCTAAGGACCAAGGGTACATGTTAGCTAACTGCTTCTTCATGCTGAATGGGCACTGTCTTAGTTATTTTTCTATTGCTGTGACAAAACCCTGTGACCAAGGAACTTATGGAAGAAAGAGTTTATTGGGGACTTACAGTTTCAGAGAGTGAGTCCGTGACCATTCTCTGAATGGGAAGCATGGCAACAGGCAGGCAGGCATGATGCTGGAGCAGTAGTTGAGAGTTTACCTCTGATCTATAAGCATAAGTCAGAGAGAGAGAGAGAGAGAGAGAGAGAGAGAGAGAGAGAGAGAGAGAGAGAGAGAGAGAGAGCACTAACTAGGAAGAGTGTGGGCACCTGAAATCTCAAAACCCACCTCAGTGACACACCTCCTCCAACAAGGCCACACCTTTCAATCCTTCCCAAATAGTTCCACCAACTTGGTGACCAAATATTCAAATATATGAGCCTATGGGGGCCGTTCTCATTCCAACCACCACAGGCACAGCATCCTCACAAGATCTCATGAAGCACTTCCTCTTACCATGATCATTTCACAGGTGAGCAAACGGGTGTGGAGGTACAGCTTGTCCAGCTCAGAACTCACATTATTAACCCGCCTACTCTCACGCTTTGGTAGTTTGTTTAGAACAAGCAGCTGTTCTGAATAAACTGCAAAGGTGGTAAGTTAATAAAACAAATGAATAAAATCTATAAAGACAAAAAGTATGTGCACGACCATGGGTGAAGGGTGAAATGCAGGTGTGAACCCAGGTCAACTATCTGCCTTCAGCATGGGGTGTTTTCCTTGACTCCTCCTGCCTATAAACGACAGTGTGAACCTGTCCTAGTGACCTTGTGGGTCTTAAAGTACCACATTTAGTGCTTGACATAAACCAAGCATTTATTGGTTTTGCTTGAACCAAACCTCAAAGAACCAAATGAGCTGGAGAGAAGATTGAATAGACAACAGATAGATGTTAGAATAGTGAATTATTTGCAGTGTGAAAACCACCCTCCCACATGCCTTCCCCTCTTCCCCCTTTTCCTCCTGTTCTCCATTTTTCTTTTAAACAGTGACTTGATATGTAGTGCATCCTGGCCTTGAACTCACTCACAACTTCTTGCCTGAGCTTCCATATTTTGAAAGGAAATCAGCAATTTAGAGAATATGTGGACCAATATTTAGAGAATATTGCATAACAGTAACTATCCCTGTTAATATGCCCAAAGGAAAAAATATTGATTGATTCTGTGTGTGTGTGTGTGTGTGTGTGTGTGTGTGTGTGTGTGTGTGTGTGTGTGCAGGTGCAGGGCAAGAACACGGATGTCAGAGGACAACTCAGAAGAGCATTCTCTCCTTCTACCGTGTGGGTTCCAGGGATTGAACTCAGGTCACCAGGCTTGGGAGCCAGAGTCTTTGCTCACTGAACCATTTTGCTGGCTCGTTCTTTGGTTACAAAAGAGTTCTTACCAACAACTGTGAGCTAATTCCAGGGTCACGGAACACTTGCGTATATTTCATGCTAAGAACGAAGATTGAAGACTCCATTTTAAAAGGAGCAAAGAGGAAAGAAAGGAAGAGGAAAAGAAGTGGAACCCCAGAGTGAAGATGGGCTCCATCAGTCCCTGGGAAACCTCGGGCCAGACTCTGGGGAGTCTTCTGTTTGACAGTACCACACATTTTCATTACAGTTGACTTAGAGGCACACTTCGAGGAACTCTTTGGGACAATGGTTGAGGCTGCCTGATAGGGTGAAAGTGTGTAAGATGGGCTGGGAAAATTCACAGGAAGTAACTTAAAGGGTCACTGAAAATTGAATATTGGCAGTAAATGTATGTTAGAATGGGTAGGTTTAAGTCCGTTACCCTCTGCTGTAGCACCCGCTGGTTATTTTGACAACTGGTAGGTAAAGTGGGGGAGGGGAAGCCTCAGGCAGTTGTCTTCTTAGGTATATGAGGTGGACTTCACAGTGAGCAGAAGGGTGATGAAGGCAGGTGATTTTTATGGAGAAAAGTAGAATTGGGGAAACTCTAACCACCATGAGGGGTTCAATGATGACCATCAGTGGCTGATGAAAGGGGGGTTTTGTATCAGATGGTGTAGGCTGACAGCCGTAAATCCACTCATTCAACTTTACATGACAGTTAAAAGACACCCAGCATCATCTGCCTCCTGATGGGATGTACCCAGTGCCATCTGGGTCACAGTTTTGCCATGAATCAAGGCCTAGACCTAACTACCATTCTGTAGGAAGGGTGGGCACATGCAGAGGCCCATGTCAAATTATACCCCTAGATTCTAACCAGTAAAAATCTTTTTCATGGTCTTGCCATATGGTCCTGGCTGGCCTGGAACTTACTCTGTAGCCCAGGATGCCTTGAACTTGAAGTGATCCTCCTGCCTCAGCTTCCAGAGTGCTGAAATATAGGCATGCACTACCATGCCTGGTTGCAAATTAGCAAAATTCTGAACATGGAAAATTTTATATAAGAAAAGAGACTTAAGAGACATTTCAAACCAATGCAATTTAATTTATGGTTTTTTTTCCTCCCCAGTTAGGGATCTAGTTTGAATCCTGATACAAACAAATCAACTGTAAAAAAGGTACACATTTATGAGCGAGTGAGAGATATTTAAATCCTGACTTTTAAGGCTATTAGACATTGGATACAATGATATAGTGCTTAGAATTCGTTTCTGAATCTAGATGTGTGGAGCCAGAGGGAGAGAAGATCGAGGGGTCTGAGCACATGTGGATGGGTTGTGAGGTGGGGTAGAGGTGCACGGGGATTTATCTTGCCATCACATCTATTTGTATATGTTTGGAGAGTTCCATATAGAAAGTTGGCAAAAAACAATAAAGCCTACAGACAGACAGACTTCCTTCTTTCATCACAGTGGAGGAGGTGTGTGTGTTCAGCATGGTGGCGGGGGGGCTGTGTGTGCTCTGGGATGGCTGCATCCTGTGGGCAATGACTTTTGGATATAAAGAGATCTAACAGGCTAAAGGGGTATCAGGTATCCATACACAGACAGATATCCTGTTTAGGGGACCGCGGGGGCCAGTCCCACTTGATTATTTCCACGGTCAAAGACCGAGTAAAACTGCCGGATGAAGACGTCCCCCAGGATCCAGAGGGGCCCAGCGGGCGGCGGGATGTCAAGTCCTTGGAAGCCACTGCCGCAGAACTGCATCCCATCCACTAAGTCCTAGGGTCCAAAAGAGGCAGTTAGTAGCAGACAGGGGGGACGGGCGCAGCCCTGGGAGCTGTACTGAGTGGTGGTGCTGACTGGCACCCAACGGCCTGAGATGGTGGGTGAGTGTCACCGTTGTGGTTGGTGGGCCCATCTTTCATTCTGTGCCCACATCCAGCTTGCTCAGTACAGTGCGTGTTTGCTCGGTTCACTGGTCTGAGAACTGTGTGTTTTTACAGCCACACCCTGACATCAGTCTATAACTGGAAACACAGAGACCTTATGGCAAAGGGTTCGGCGTTAGAACACGCTGGTTGAAATCCAATCTTTAGTTTCAAGCAGAACTCAGTTTTTATAAGGGAGAGAGACTGGTCTATGAATGACTAGCCACCACTTCCTTCTTGACGTCTGGGGAAGAAGCGTTTGAGTGGGCTCCCTTAGACACAAGGCCAGCCCTCATCCATTGTTCTATGAAGGGAGCCTAATCTCCCCCACTCTTCTTTTTCTCTTAGACACTACATAACCCGTGCTGTCCAGAACTCACCATCCTGCCTCTGCCTCCTGAGTGCTGGGGTTCCAGGCATGCACCACTGCTCCTGTCCCCTAATCTTATTTTTCACTTTAGCAAAGATTTGGTTTCTACCAGGCAGGTGTGGTTTTCCCAACAACCCTCTGAAACTCAAAGTTGCTGATGAGAAGGTAGGGGAAGTCACAGCTCTGTGAGAGGACAAGGTTAAAATTCAAGGCTATTCCAGCATCCTTGATGTACTGAGATGGCCCTGTTTGAAAGCTGGCAGGAAAAGACCCCAGTCCCATGTTGGGTACAAGCAGATCCTCTTGTTGGATAAAAGTAGGCGCGTATAGGTGCTAGATCTCCCAGGATCCAGAGGGGCCCAACTGGAGGGTTAGTGTCAAGTCCTTGAAAGCCACTGCCACAGAACTGCCTCCCATCCACTAAGACTGAGAAAGTCACTGCCACAGAATTGCATCCCATCCTCTAAGAAAGCCACTACCATGGAACTGCATCCCATTCACTAAGACTGAGAAAGCCACTGCCACAGAACTGCATCCCATCCACTAAGTCCTAAGTGTCCTAACTGCAGTCCATCCACTAAATCCTAGGGCCCCAAAGAAGCGCTTAGTAACGTGGCGATGGGAATGGTGACTGGTGAGCAGGGCTCAGTCTTGCCGTGTGGTTTGTCCCAGCATGCCGTCTGCAGAGGCTGTTCCAAGAGCTTCCAAGAGTGTCCCAAGAGCTTAGGAGGCTTGCCACGAAGCTACGCTTTAGAGCATAAGGTGCAGGTAACTCTACGTTAACACCTTTATGCTGGCACAGTCATCGATTGCTTCTGGTTAAAGAAGCACATCAAAAACCAGCCCAGGGGACGTGAAGCGACTCTAGGTTTCCAAAATGTCCAGCTTTTCTTCTCTACCTCACCCTCGGAACTTGGGAATCATTGCAATAAAAGACACATTTTGGGGCTGGAGAGATGGCTCAGCGGTTAAGAGCACTGGCTGCTCTTCCAGAGGTCCTGAGTTCAATTCCCAGCAACCACATGGTGGCTCACAACCATCTGTAATGAGATCTGGTGCCTCTTCTGGCCTGCAGGGATACATGCAAGCAGAGCACTGTATATATAATAAATAAATAAATCTTAAAAAAAAAAAAAAAAGACACATTTTGGCTTGAGGAGGAAAGCTAATTTGAATGTTGACCCCCGCCCCCAACCCCCAAAGCAGCTCATATCTTCTTTTTTTAAAGTCACTTTTTAAAATTTTTTGCTATTTGTGTATATGTGTGTAGTATGTATCTGTGGCACACATAATCAGAAGAGGGCGTTGGATTTCTTGGAGCTGGAGTTACACGTGGTTTGTGAGCCACACAAAGTAAGTAGGTGCAAGGAACCCAACTGTGGTCCTCTGGAGGAGCGGCAAGTGCTCTTAACTGCTGAGCCATCCCTCCAGTTCCAGCAGTCACATCTGAACTATTTATTTAACGCTGAGAACCTTAGCATCCTCCCCTATAAATCAGAATAATAGCATCTCCACTTGCCCATGGGTGGTGCGGAGGATTAATGTGTTTGCTGATTAATTCCTCATGGCAATATCAGAAATCCCCCTCAAATGTCTTGTAGCTAAGTAGCTGCTGCTTCAGGGCAGAACTGGAAACTAGAAGCAAGTCCAGGAGTTTCTACTACAGGCAGCTAGCTTCTTCTCTCTTGGAGAGAAAGCCACATTGGGACTGCATTAGGTGGGAGGGAGCCTTGTGTAGACTGTGTAGATGACTTTTCAGGGGGAAGTGGCAGGCACGTGAGGAGGATGGTGGCATGCACTGTGACTCACAGAATAAGGAAATAGCCCTTACCGGCAGGATGTAGGCAGTTGGGCTGAGGGTATATGAAACCCCGTTGATGAGGAAGGCAACATTTGGCATCGTGTTGAGGGAGGCACAGTCCACAGCGTACTAAAACAGAGAAGGATCGACTCAGAGACAGCTCTCTCCCCAGAGGACAGGCTCTCCCGCTCCTGCACCATCCCCGCTCCAGGTAGACACTCACTTCTCCATCCATGGGTGTGGCCCCAATGGCCTCTTGAAGCTGTTTGATCTCGTCAGAGGGGCCGGTGACGAGGGAGGTCCCTGTGTCCACAATGGCCTGGCAGCCCTCAGAGCAGAACATCACTGTGTCTCCCACCTGGATTCTGAGGACAAAGGGCCCCGGGGTCCCATGGTTAGCAACCGATCCTTGGCCATTCCTGCTCCCTGTGGGGCCCTTTACCATATCAGGACACAATAATGCAACTTGCTTCTTTTTAAAGAAGGGTTTCACTCTGTCCAGACTAGTGCTAAACTCAGCAATCCTCCTGTCTCAGCCTCATGAGTACTGGAATTATAGGCATGAGCCATTATATCTGACTCAACTTTTTTTTGGACTGAGATTCACAATAAGAAATATACTTATTTCTTGACCAAGCACACACACACACACACACACACACACACACACACACACACACTCTGAAATACATTCTTGTAGTTTCTATTGTACTCTGTTTTCATTCAGAAATGCAGATCAGGAGCTGGGCATGGTGGGGAACACCCATAAGTAACTCCAGCATGTAGGAGGCTGAGGTGAGAAGATCCTGAGCATCCCAGGCCAGCTGGGGCTACTTGGCAAGATCCAGTCTCAAAAAAAATAACACAAACCAAACAAACAGATTCCTTAAAATAACATCATGGGCATAAACAGGTAAACCTCTACCACCTGACAAGCATCAGTAGCCAGTGAGCATTGGGGCTGTTTCACTTTTTATCCAGAACATCTTAGAACAGAAACTAGACTGCTTTGTCCTGATCTCCCACTGTATCTAGCACCGTGCTGGCCCTGGGACAGGGGTGCAATCCTATTTCCCCTTAGCTCCATGCCCACGCATGGATTTCAAGGCTCAGTTTCAGAGCCATCGCCTCCACAAACCCTGCGCAGTCTTCAGACAGAGAAGTCTCACTCTGCTGGCCATTCTAGCGGCTCTTGGAGCGCTGACCACATCCACTTTGTGTGGTGGCAATTTGGGACCACACCTCATCTTCCATGCAAGCTTCAAGTAAGCAAAAAACCAGAGTCCAAATCACACTTTGCATTCCCCATGTCACTCAGCCCTTGCCTCGTGTGTTATTAAGGTTGTGTGAACACAGGGTAGCTGGCTGTGTGAGCTAGAAGGAAGCCTGCTAAACGCATACAGAAGGAAGCCACTCCTTCAGTCCTCCCTGTGTGTTTCCACACCTCCAGTCCAGATGTCAGGTCCCCAGCATCTGCTCTAGTGCCTGGCAGTCACTCAGTTAATCCATGAGTTTGTGGCTGTTGTGCGTTCTTCGGTTCAATCACAGCTACTACATGGAGGATACTCACCCGTCCAGCGCAATCTGCCAGTAGCCTTGCTTGGTGACTGGGATCCAGTTGAGGCTCCCAGAGAAATGAGAGGAGTCATAGCCTCCGAAAGTCAGCTCACTGCCTATGCCACCTTCTGGGTCACTGCAGAGAGAAAGACACATTGTCAAAGAAGGGCCCATGGAAGCACTGGGGGAGGGGTGGTCCTTGAGGGCCCTTTGCTGCGTGTCTGGGCACTTGCATCTGGTACCCAGGTAGGCAGAAACTACCTAGGTAGCCTGAGCTTTTGGGGACCAAAGAGAAGAATGACACTGTCCAGTGCTCTGTCAATATCCCCTGCTTCTTGGATACAAAGTTTAGGAGGTAGGGCACATCAGAACTGCAGATCTAAGATCAGGACCATCCTGGGTGTGTGAACACTGAGGATGCCCTCCCCCTCCCCAAATATCCTTTCTCGGAGTATCTTCCCTGCTACGAATGCTGTGGTGTTGGGAGTCCCCACAAAGGTCACTCCCCTTTGTTAAGGTGGAGAGGGTAATTTGAAAGCAATACATCTTATTAGAACTTGACTATTGGTAAATCTTCTAAAGCAGTTTTTTTTTTTTCTCAAGTTACATGCTGGAATTTAGTAAGATTCAGGGAAGAAGAGCATTTCCAGGGGGGAAAGGAGCAGAAAGACACAAAGCTTGGGGCGCTGCAGGACAGGGTGGTAGTGGGGAAGGAGTATATATCTATAGGAATTGTAGGTTTGGTGGGGACTGGGGTGTAACTAAAGGGTAGAACGCTGGTTTGGCACGCATGAGTCCTGGGCTCTAGATCTCTCCACCTGATCTTGAATTCTCACATCAACCCAGTGTTTGCTTGAGGAAGCTGAGGCCCTGGGACACAGAACAATGCAGGGGGAAGCAGGAGTCCTGACAGTGTGTTGATCAGAGTCCTCCCCGGGCCTGGTCCCAACTGCAGCCACTCTGGAGACACAGCACAGCCCAAGAGAGCAAATTCAGGACTCTTCACGTGGAAGGGGGACAGGGAAAGTGACTTACATTGGAGCATGGCGAGCTCAGGCCAGCCCAGAGTGGGGAAGGTAAGTCTTGCTGTTAGGGTGGAAAGTGAGGTGAGCACCCCAGGCTAGGGTACAGGAGCAGTGAGCTTCGCACTCTTCCCAACCATAGTGTATGGAGTTTTAGAACTTGTGGCAGTACAGCGATAAGATAAAACCGTCTTAACCACTTTTGAGTGTGTAGTTCAGATTTTCATTACCATGAAGGCAAGCTCTCACACATTTTCACTGTGTAGAATGGAAACTCATTAAACAAGAATCCCCTCCCCATCCCTCACCGCCCCCCCCCTTGGCAACCATCACTGTACTTTCTATGAATTCAATTCTAGGTACCTCTCGTAAGTAGAATTGTTATCTGTCATTTTGGTGACTGGCTTATTTTGTTTAGCATAAGTCTTGGAGTTTAATCCACGCTCTGGCACATGTCAGAAAATGTTTGTGAGGCATTGGAGATTGAACTCAGGGTCTTGTGTGGACTAGGTAAGTCCTCTATTGCCATACGGTATCCCTCATACTCCTTCCTTTCAAAGGCCAAGTCATATTCTTCTGTATGGCTATCCTACATTTTCCTTTCCTACCCATTAAAGTACAATTTATTTTTAGAATCATCTTATTGGTTATTTTTTTCCCCTGTCTCCCAACCACAGAGATTACCCTTGTTTCCTTGTGTTTTGGTATCTACCATCACATATGGCATTGAACAGGACCTTGGTATTTATTGACCATATAAGTCACTAGCCAATCTCAAGGGTCCATAGATTCAACTCACAGTGGTAGTTTGCCAGTGCTTGTCACAGCTCCTTTATGAGGCAAACTACATTTCCTCAAAATCCAGAGAGCCTGAGTGTTTTGCTCCAGATCATATCATAGGCGTATCATAGGTCCAACAACAGATTCGAGGATTCACGGGTGTTAGGCCCGTGAAGTTCGTGTACCAGGCCAGATGCCTGTAGTCATCACTGACCTCACCTGGGGGACTTGACTGGCCTCACCTGCTCAAGTAGACAGAGAACATCGGCAGATCCACAAGGTTCTGGGCCATCATGTTGTCAAACACTGGGGTCACCCCTCCAGCAGCCAGTGAGGGGTATCCCAGGCCCAGAATCCCATCAAACTCCGCATTCACAAAGGTCTGGCCAGGCTCCTTGACGCTTTCTCCAAACTGTTGGCCATCCACAGTCAGCCCTTGCACCTGAAGGGAGAATTGCACAAAGGTTCATTGGATGAGGGTCTCAGATTAAAGCCAAGTCTTCCTTTCTCAGCTTTCCTTGGTAAATAAACAGGCACAAAAATGTTGACTATAATCCCACTAATGTAATTTCTTCATGTGACTTTAAAAAATGAAATATAATGAAATGCAGAAAATATGAGTGTCTATTTTAATAACAGTCCACATACTACACATGCCTGTGTAACCCTCCTGAAACAAGACAGAACATCCCAAAGCCACAGTACATGCCTTTCTTGTACGCTGCCGATCATTGATTGTATCGCTCCTCCAGAGTGACTGGTCTTCCAAGCGACATTGGTTTGGTCTACATCTTTAATGTTACATAAATGGAATTATCCACTATGGTGCCACTACACGAAATTACAATGTTTTTATTCTCAGTAGTATTCCAAGGTATGACTCTGTTACCATAATTGACCCCTTATGCCATGGGTGGATATCTGGGCTGTTTCCTGTGTTTGACTATCACTAATGGGGCTTTGTATGCACGGGTTTTGGTGAACACATGTACATATTTCTACTAGAGTAAATCTCTAGATTTGGGGGTTTAGAAGTATTCTCTCTGAGCAAAGGTCCTGAAGTCTTCCAAATTGTGCTACCAATGTTTCCATTACTGAAATTCTGGGAGCCCCAGGTGGCCCATACCCTCAAAAGCCTGCCTTTTCCATGTTGGTTTTATAGTAGATATGCCGAAGATTACATTGAGATTTTAATTGCATTTCACAAGAATTCATGAAATTGGCTCTTTGGAGATCTCCTTTTAGGAATGCCTGCTTTTGTTGCAGTTGTTGGTGTATTTTGGAACCAAGTCCTTTGCTGGCAACTGCAAGTTTTCCCCTGTCAGTGATGCCTTTTGCTGTTTTTGATGAACAAGATATGAATTTTAATGTAGTTAATTTTATTAATTTTTACTTCATTATTAGTGGGTTTTTAAAAAACATGCTTCAGAGTTTTTATTTTTTCACAGTCATGAAGAACATGAAAACATATTTTCCAATGTTTTCTTCTCCATGCTTTATTCTTTTACATTTTTGCATTTAGATCTGTAATCTACCTAAGGTCTGACAACATATGACAAAGCTATTAAGATTAATTTTTCTGCATAGATATCTAAGTGACTTACCATTTTTTTCTTTTCTTTTTTTTTTTTTCGAGACAGGGTTTCTCTGTAGTTTTGTGCCTTTCCTGGAACTCACTTTGTAGACCAGGCTGGCCTCGAACTCACAGAGATCCGCCTGCCTCTGCCTCCCGAGTGCTGGGATTAAAGGCGTGCGCCACCACCGCCTGGCGACCTACCATTTTTAATAACAGTGTTATCTTCTACATGCTGCAGTAAAATGTTCAATATGAGCAAGGTATTAGTGGGAGATTTTTGGATTTTTCATATATCCTGGTGTATTTGTCTCTTTCTTTTTTTTCTTAGCCTATACCAAAATGGCAGTCTAAATTGTGGCTTTATTTTGGCAGTATTTTTACTAATCAAGATTATTTTGGTATAAATACCAAACACAAATCATTACTGTTTTGATTATGGCAACACTGGATTTATAAATCAACTTGGAGATTTTGACTTTTTTTTAATCAAAATGAGTCTTTCTATAGGAATGGCTCATCTTTCATTTCCATAAGTCTTTTAATTTCGTACAGTAATGACTTATGTTTTTTTAGGGTAGAGGTTTCATATTTGTTAAAGGTAAGCTGTTTTTGATGGTATCATAGATACTGTTTTCAAGACCTGTTTTTCGTTTGTCTTCACATAGAAATCCACTTGATTTTTGTTATGTTTACCTCTTTTAAAAATGTTTGTAGATTTTCTTATTAATATCAGTATTACCAAAGATACTTTTAGATTTCCTACATGCAGAATTTTGTCTTGTGGCTGTTTGTGATGGCACATGCCTTTAATCCCAGTACTCAGGAGGCAGAGCCAGATGGATCTCTATGAGTTTGAGGCCAGTCTGGCCTACAATGAGAGTTCCAGGACAGCCAGGGCTACACAGTAAGACCCTGTCTCAAAACAAAACTAAACAAAACAAGAGGAAAATCTTGCCAGTACTGGAAGCCTAGCCAACTACCTAGGGCTAGAGAAGTAACAGATCGAGGAAGAGAACCCACAGCCAGCACTTTATTAAAGCAACATAAACCCTAACTACACTTCAAATATCTTTTTTTTGTTTTGTTTTTTTGTTTTTCGAGACAGGGTTTCTCTGTGTAACTTTGCGCTGTTCCTGGATCTTGCTCTGTAGGCCAGGCTGGCCTCGAACTCACAAAGATCCGCCTGCCTCTGCCTCCCGAGTGCTGGGATTAAAGGCGTGCGCCACCACCGCCCGGCATACACTTCAAATATCTTATAACCACTGATAAGTGTAATAATCCTCAACTCTCATCAAGGAAACTTCTCTTTGCGACAGATAGAGATGACACAACCAGTCAAAATTCAGAGATGTGGAACCCAGTCCCAGTGGATATTTCAACCAAACAACTCCCACACCTAAGGCTCAGGGGTCATTGTGAACAGCGGCCAGAAAGTCTGTAAGAGCCAGAGGAAGGCGAGGAAGGCGGGGTTTGCTGTGAGGTTGTGTCTCTTAAGAATGTCAGAAGTTACACCCCTAAAGCCTCGCCAATATAATTGTGTAAACATAAGCTGAACGAGGACACCGATAGACGTGCTAACATGGAGGGGAGAAAGCCCATGAGGACTCGACCCTATTCAAAGAACTACAGGCAACCCAGGAATGCTGAGAGTGGGAGAGGAAGGAGCATACCCATTTGGTTATTCAACACCAAATGGTCATCCCTGAAAACATAGACATACAAGTATGTGTTATACAGGCCGAGCAGGTTGTTATTACATATTTAGGAATACGTACATACATACATATGTATATAACAACTTTCAATGAAAAAAGAGGCCATGAATTTGAAAGAGAGCTAGGAGGGGTGTGTGGGAGGGTTTGGAGAAAGGAAAAGGAAGGAGATTATGGAATTATAATATTAAAAATAAAAGAAATAAAGCAAGCGAGGGGGTCTTTTTATGTGCTGATATGACAGCGTTATTGCTTCCTTCCAAATCTTAAGCCCTTAGTGTCCTTTTCTTGTCTTACTGCACTGGCAATGGTCTTCAGCACAGTGACGAACAGAGGGGGCAATACGACTACTGCTGTTTTGTTCCTAATCTCAGGAGAATCTCAAAATCTCTAAAAACTTCACTATGGAGTATAAGCTCTGCTGTGGGCTTCTGAGGAACACAAATTAGCCTCAGACTTACAGTCTTCCTCTCCAGCCTATAGAGATGACAAATTCCAGTTTAGACTTGGCCCACAGTGAGAGCTGTCTCAGATCTGTCCACCCACAGAACACGAAAACATTGACATCTAGGAGAAAGAGTTTAACTCTAATCCATTTTGTTTCATTTGTTTGTTTTGAGACAGGATCTCATATAGCCCAGGCTAGCACAGAACTTACTATGTAACAGAGGAAATCTTAAACTTCTGATCCTCTTGCCTCAGGCTCCTGAGTGCTGGGATTACATGTGTGTGCCTTGTCCAGTTTATGTGGTCCTGAGGATCAAATTCTGGGCTTTGTGTATGCCGGGCAAGCTCTCTGCCCACTGACCGGTAGTTCCAGCTATTTGATTGACTGACTGATTGACAGGGTCTCCCTATGTACCCGGGGTTGTCCTATAACACTCTGTAGACCAGACTGGACAGACACTCACAGAGATCTACCTGCCTCTGCCTCCTGAGGACAAGGACTAAAGTGTGTGCCACTATGTCCGACCCGTTCTAGTGCTTACAATAATCTTTTCAAGCTTTGTTATTAAAGTTGTAATGGTTTCATAAGATGAGATATGAAGTAATTCTATCAATTCTCTGGAAGATGGGCCCTGAGTTTTCCTTGTGGGGGAGGTTTGTTTGTTTGTTTGTTTGTTTGTTTGTTTTAAATAACAGAGTAAACATTTAAAATAGAAACCAGGGAACAGGAGAGTAAGACATGCAGAATGAAAGGTAAGAATCCTCGAGGTAAAATGCAGATGATTAGAAACAGATTAAATTAAGTTCAAAGAGCTAGTGGGACGAGCCTAAGCTAAGGCTTATTATTCATACTTAATAATAACTCTCTGTGTCTTTATTTGGGAGCAGGTTGGAAGCCCAAAGAAACTTCCCACTACAGTGAATTTTCTATTTTATTAGATCAGTTTTGATAGTCCCTATTTCTCAGACTATTCATCAATTTAAAATTATTGTAAAGCATATCAATATGAGACAGTTTTGATATCCTGTTTTGAGGTTGACAAGATCTTTAGTGGTGTCCCGTTCATGTCTAATGCTGTCAGGTTTCTTTCATTTTTCTGGATGAGTTGTGCTAAGGGTCGCCAATTTGCTTGCCCTTTGCAGTTAATCTGGGCCGTTGTTATCCTGTTTCCAGGGCGGGTTTCCTATTTCACTGATGTCCTGTCCTTCTCTCCATTATTTCTTTCCTTCCCTTTCCTTTGGGTTTAGTTTGCTCCCGGTTACTAGTGGCTTGTTCTTCTTAGTGCTTGTGATTCAAAATAACAGCATAGATCACTGGTTTTTCTCATATATGCATTTCAGGCTGTAATTGTCCCTTGAAGGACTGCATTAACTGCATTAATCTGTGTACTTATATATTACATACGTATGTGTTTTAGATATCTGGCTTTATACAGTTGCAGATGCCAGTTAGAGGGTGTACTTAGGATGTGGTTTCTAACCTGGGGTTGCAGCCCAAGGTCTACAGATGTGGCAGCAGAGGAGAGATATGTGTCAAGTGGGAGAGACACCAACTGGAACCTGTGGGGATGGATTGGGACCACTCTGTCCTTTTGCTGCCCGGGCCTGTATCCTCAGTGAAGTGTTGTGGAATATTTGTGTAACTATGCAAAGATGTGTTGCATTTGTTTAACTATGTGAAGATGTGTTGCTGTTTTACCTTGCCAGCCTAAGGCATCTAATTGGTCTAATAAAAAGCTGAATGTCCAATATCAAGGGAGAAAGTATAGGTGGAACTTCAGGGCAAGGAGTAAATAGAAGGAGGAATTTAGGCCCAAGGAAGAAAAAAAAGGAACCCCAGCTTGCTCACTGGCTTGCATTTCTTTTTCCTTCTCTCCTCTCCTTAGTGCTCAGGGATTGGCAGTCCAGCCCTAACACCAAGCAGTGCTCTGACCCTTGTTTCTTGAAGTTAGTCCCACACTGCTCTCTAGGGCTCAGCACACTGAAAAGACTGGCCACTGTCCCATCTCAGGTGGGAAGGATTGCTCCCTTCCCTTAGAAGCTAACCTTGTCTATCTCCTCCTGAGGCAGATCTGAAATTGTGCCTGAGACCTCTGAAGCATATCCTGCTACCCCTGTGCCCAGTTCCTGGGCAAGAGAGCAGAGATGGAGGGATTGCACTCACAGAGACTTGGTCAGCTCCGATGATTCCTGTCAGGCTCCCGGTACCATAGTGGATGGAGAAATGATTCCCTACCTCCTCGTATGTGCTGGACTGGGATGGGTGGAACACCGGGTGTGTCTCTGGAAAACAAGAATGCTGCTTACTGCTTCCATCCCTGCCCTAGAGAGGCAGAGTGGCTTCCCTCGGCTCCCCACAAAAAGTGGAAGATGGAGGTTCTTGGAAAAGCCTGCCACAGCCTTTTACTAGTGAGCTACTGTGTTCTCTCTAGCCTAACCAGGTGTGTCCCAACCAGGGACCAAATATTTGTCCCTGGGCAAACCTGGTTGCTCACAGTGACCTCACAGACGCAAGATAAGCACCGTTTACCCGGCGCCAGCAGCAGTGACAGCCATCAGTGTGGGGCAGAGCCTGGCCTTCAGAGAACGCTCAGGGGTGAACAGTTATTACCACTCTAGGAAATTACTCCCAGCTCTTCATCCCACTTTGCAGATGTCTAGTTTCGGGTTTCAAAGAGCTTCTACCCTTGGGATGTGTCTCACACATTAGGAGCCTGCTCTGTTTAGGGCTTCTGTTTCCAATCTCTACCTAATCCCTACATTACCTCTGGCCAAATGGACACACCCAGGCCACTGTGCCCCACCAGCCACACCTCCACGGGAGCCAGGCCATCGGGGCCTCCTTGAAGTAGGTGTACAGTCTTCCTTAGAAGTCAACCGCCCTGCCTGTTCAGGTACAGACCAAAGGAACTTCCCCCCATGTTCTCTTGGGTGTTCCAAAGGAAGTGAGTCACCAAGTCAAAGATTTCTCTTCTTAGTGGCTTATTTTTTCTCCATTATTTCCGACTGGTATGAAAGTTGTTATCTTGACTAGTAAGTTACTTTTCGTCTCTGTCCCCGGCCCAGCCACGCCAAACAGAGATAGGAAGTGGAAGCTGATGTGGCAAGGAGGATCAGGGGAGAGAATCCAAGTCTCCCCACCCCACAAACTACCACCTTCGCCTCTAAGAGGTGGCTTCCGCCATTGCCGTCCACTTACTGCACGCTGGGCTGGTACAGTAAACCGAAGGGACCCAGAGGTTGGAGGAGCCGGTGTCAAAGATGACGGTGAAGTTCTGTGGTGGGGAGCCAATGGAGATAGTGCCGAAGTACTCCATCTACAGGGAAGGGAGAGAAGGAGAGGAGGAAGGGAGAAGTGTTTGCAGCTAGGGCCTGGAGTACCGTAGCTTACAGTCTACAGAGCCTTGAAGAAGCAGGGCTAGAGACAAGGATGGAAGGAACAGAGCAGGGGCCACCAGGAAGGACACTGAGGAGAGCTCAGGAAACTTGGTTCCATTCCTCTCTCATTATCCTGATTCTCATTATGTCATGGTGGGCAAGGCAGGGGAGACAGGAATGCCTCCATTTTAGGGATCAGGGAACTGGGGTTGTGGGAAATCAAGTACTTTCTTTGCCCAAAGACATAGCTGGTAAAATGCCCAGCTGAGCACACAGTAAGGGCCTTTCTGCTTGGAGCACATGTCATCCTTGTCTCTTTCCTCTTAAAGAAAGCCCTGCACACTGGCCCATACTGAGGCCTGCTTTACAGAGTTCATAGAGACTAGGGATCATCCATCTGAGTCATCCAAGCAAAGAACTCCATGCCTGAGCACCCGAAGTCACCGGTGCGGCACTGGTCCCTGCTGGAAGCCCAGCCTTCCTCCCTACACCCAGGACCCCCAGGCTTTAGCCCAAGACATCTTACGTCCAGGTAGTTGATGAGTGGTTCATTGGTACTCTGGTCCACATTACAGGACTCGCTGAACTGGATCATGTCCAAGTTCTGGGACTTCCAGAAGTCTGAGAGCTGGCCTTGGGCCCGCAGCTTCTTCCGGAGGGACTGGTGCCTTCTGAGGGGCACCCTGGAGAAAAAGTGGGGCATGAGGGGGCATTTCTGCTTCCGTCCCCTATTTCCATGTATCAGTTCAGAGTCTGACTACAGCAAGACCCAGGAGGGGACCTTCAAGACCAGGGTGTGGCCAGATGCAGCACCTTCTCTGTCTGGAGCTCTCAGAATCTGATAGAAATGGCTCTATCTCCTGGGCACTGGCCCTTTGGGGTTTTTCTAGGGGATGGGAGGTAGACACAGTCTGCATGAAGGGCTGACTTACAGGGACAGAAGGACTCTGTGGATAATAGTGCTCCGTCCCCCGGGAAAGAATTTGAAGGCTTGGAGTTACAAACCATAGCTGTGGTCCATGCTTTCCACCAACAGAGGGGAGCCCCCTGAACTGAGGCAGGCACCACTACTGGAAGGGGAGGCCTGGCATTGACTGGGGAACATTCTCTAGGAATTCCCTTGAGATCCCAGTTTCTTCTTTTTCATTTCCTCATTAGCTTTCCTCCCCCAGGGCAGCCTTGGGCTGGGGTTGGGGGATGCCTAAGTTGAACTCAGTGCCTTACCTGTTCACAGCTCCTTGGGCCTGTCCCAGGTCCAGGAGCACCAGCAGTAGCGCGAGGAGGGATTTCATTGTGGTCCAGCCAGCAGCTTCCTTCTCTCTCTGCTTCGATCTCTCTTCTCTCTTCTTTTCTTCTCGACTCAGGCCAGGGGCACCAGTTCTTCCTGGTGCCCAGGCTTGCCCTGCCCAGTCTGAGGACCCAATGATAAGGTCTGGAGTCAATAGTCATGCCCAGAGTAAACAGTATGTGTAATAGGACGCCGCGCGTGCCCTCTGAAAATTAGGGGTGTTCCTGTCCCAACTTCTCTCAGGGTCTTTGGACACCCCACACTGGCTTTAAGAAATCCCTTGTTTATTGTATGAGGGATCAGAAGGTCCCTAAACCAGGGTCCCACCTTGTTGAACTGCTGCTACTAGTGTTCAGACTGAAGACCCCTGAAGGGCAGAACCTGAAATGCCACATGTGTAGCAGGACTGTAACTCAAAACGTTAGCCAGGCTTTGGTCTATATTCTCATTCTCTCTCCATTCCTTTTGAGGCTCCCAAAGCAATTTGTCCTACTCAGAGCAAAACCAGTACTCCCCAAAGGCCCCGAAATGGGAAAGTTTGGCTATGGATTTGTGGAGTGAGTTTTCTTGATTCCGAGCACTTGATGAGTCTGGGGCTGGGGTCTGTACAGAAGGGAGTTGCAGAGGCAGCCGTGGAGGGCCAGGGTCTGGGGCAGGCCTGTGTTGGTGCACCAGGGCTGCCATAGCAACGTGTCACAAACCAGTGGCTTAAGCAACATCTATTTCCTCGTGACCCTGGAAGTTGGAAATTCAAGTTTTCTTACCATCAACCCCTCCTGTGGGTGTCCCTTCTCCAAAATAAAGGGCCAGCTTTCCTGACTTAAGAGAGGTGAGGATGAGGAAGAAAAGGCTTCCGTAACTGGACTCCAGTTGATGGCCTCTGAGCTGGACGGGACAGGCCATCACTACTCCCATAGGTGCCAGTACTTCCAGAGAGTTATGAAGTAGGAATTAGGGTGCCTGGGCTAGGTTTAGCTCTGCTCTTACCAGCCAATGCTCTGGGAGAGTGCCAGGGCCTAGCCTTTTATCTCCGAAGCCCAGCAGAAGGCAAAATTCGGTCTGAAGCTAGGCCAAACCCTTCTTTAGATCCAAAATGTTGACAAGACATCAAAAAAGAGGAGGAATCAAGAACAGAACGAACTTATCATGAGCCTAAAGCAACCACACCTTCCTGGCATTCACTTCTTCCCCAGGAGCCTGTCCTCTGGCCTCTCACAAGGGAGAGGGGCCTGTCTGTTCCCCCAAAGAGCAGCATGCGGCAGGAGGACTACGAGGCCAGGTCACCCCTCCCAACTAAGCTCTGTCATGATTGCCCACAGTTGCCTGACCAGACACTTCAGTGTCGTCATTCTCTGGGTTTTTAGGAGGGTTGGGGGCACAAAACAAGACATGGGAAAGTAGTAAAAACACCTGAACACATCCCATGGGCAGAAACCTTTCGCTGGAAGATTTCTTCCAGGTCCTCATGGCCAACTCACTTGCACAGCTCATGGGAACGTGGTCCCAGAGACATAAAGTGATTTCCCCAAGGGCACAGTTCATCACGGCAGAGCTAGGCTCTTAACTGCTAGTCTAGGGCTCTTTCTGTGTGCTATCACTGAGCGATTGGTGCCAGTACACCTGAGCCCCCCTCCTTCTCCATCTCCAGAACTCTCTCCCCATCTGTTTACTAAATTATAGAGGGTTAGGCTGTCCCATGTCTAAATGGGACCTGGGCAGCTATGGGTTACCTGACCCCGAGGTAGAAGACTCAGCCTGCCTGTTAGAGGGTCTATTGAGTTTGGGAAAGTCTGACAAAGATTGGGAGCAAGCATGTGGGGACGTTTGTCCCAGTTGATGGGCTCTGTCCTTTCTGGAAACACCAGGAACTGCAGCTCTCCTGGCTGTGTGTGTCACTGGCCCCTCCCAGGTTGAAATGGAAAATTACTGTGGACCATTGTTATGGACAGTGTGAACCTTCTCTGGGAACAAAAGTCCCTGAGCATATGAATGGCTATGTGTGTGATCTCTGGGGAGAGGCAGAGGGAAGAACACTGGAGTGAAAGAGTGGAGTGGGTCATAGGGCACAATATAGGCAGTGATCTGTTCTCTCAGCACTTGCAAAGGGGCTGTGGTTTTTTGAAAGAAAATGGGCTGTAAAAGTAACAGTCTTGTTAAATAAGAAACACAGAGCTGGCTGGGCAGTGGTGGCGCACCCCTTTAATCCCAGCACTCGGGAAGCAGAGCCAGGTGGATCTCTGTGAGTTCGAGGCCAGCCTGGGCTACAGAGTGAGTTCCAGGAAAGGCACCAAAACTACACAGAGAAACCCTGTCTGCAAAAACCAAAACCAAACCAAACCAAACCAAAACAAAACACAGAGCCAAATGCAGAGTTAAAAGCCCAAGAGGTCAGTGTAAAGATTATGTCCTTAATTACGTCACCAACCTGCGACGGCGTCCCAGCCTAAAAAGCGGGCATGCCTTCTGTGCGTTCTCTTTTTCCACACTCTCCTTCTGAACCCCCCTCTGCATGGTCCCTTTCCCCACTTCTCTCTCTCTCTCCCCCTCTCTCCCAATAAAGCTCTAGAAAGGTAACCATGGCTCGTGACTCTCCTCCAGCACTCTTTTCTGTCGGCATGGCTGCCGCAGGTGGCAGCAGCATAACCAACATTGGTGCCGCTCAGACTCAGATCAATGAGGACCTGCTGCCGCTTGCCGCCTCCTCCCCCATCCAGCGAGACCGCGAGTGTGCGCACATCCCTCACCTCCGCTGGACCCCTGTACAGATACCACTACTGATACCACCATGATTCTTCACCACAGTGAGTCTGCCGTTCTCGTGGCTGTAGTCTGAGCTATATTCTTTGCGATGGACACCCCGGGGGTTGTCCTCGGGCTGTGCTGGCAATAGCAGGCACATTTTCACTCCTGACAAGGGGGTCAATGCTGCACAGCTGCAGCCCTTTCCATCCCTTGATGAAGAGGACGGGAACTTGAACTGATTCATAGATCCCTCTCCACTCTCAGGGATGCCTGAGATTGGAGTCTGATCCTTGTTTGTTATTTTAATTTTTTATTTTTCTCTCGACTACAGCCATGCAACAAATGGGCGGAGACATTTACCACCTACATTGGTGGATAGGGCCGGGTACCGGTAAACCTGGCCACATAACGGTGTAAATCTGGCCACATAACAGCGTCGTGGAAACTTCTGCCAGTGAACGGGGAATAAGAGTTACTTTATCTCCAAGCTTTCTGCTAAAGCTCTAAACCCTTCTCCCTCCCCACTTCTGAGTCTGCCATGTGCAACCTTTTCTGTCTGACTTCCGCCGGAAGTGGGCGGGCTCAAATGGGCGGGCTTGGGCGGCTTCTACTGACTCTAGCCCTAACTCACCTTAACTAAACCCACTCATTCTCAAACTGCCTTGAGAGACACAGACAGATCTGAAAGAGGCTAAGATCCATACAAATAAGTTTACAGTAGTCAGGATGGCTTTTAAGCCAAAAATCAGCTTATAGCCTCAGACAAGTCTTCCGAAAGGATTGGTTTATGGTCCGCCTCCTGGCAGATCTTCCAAAAACTGTCCTTAAGCCACCAATCATCAGAAAAAAAAAAATTCAGGACACGGAGTAAAATCTGTCTTTTGTTCCCCAGACCTCCCAACTAAAACTTAAACATCTGGAGATGAAGGCTCCTGACCCCACAGGCAAAAGAGTCATCTGTGGCATTTAAGGTGTGCCAGGGAAGAGATAAAAGCCTGAAAACAAAATTGCCAAGTGCCGGCACTTGCTGACTCCCAAAAGATGTTGGGTCCCTGTTTTAAGTGAGGAAAAGGCCACAGGCTATCGAATGCCCTTTCAGGCCATCAACAGCCTTGTTAAAAGTGCCGCCTAGAAAGACAACCAGCCAGCTGACTGCCCCCAGGCGCCAAGATGCATGGTTACATTAAGCTAAGACCTCCAGCAGACCTAGGCTTGGCTACAGACATGACATGGAACCCAGAACGCAGCAGGGAAGCGATTCATTTCTTTCCTTCTGGACACCAGAGGCTCTGACTCAGTCCTAGGAGTTTTGGGATGCCACCTCTCCTTTTTTTTTTTTTTTGGTTTTTTTTTTTTTTGGTTTTTTCGAGACAGGGTTTCTCTGTGTAGCTTTGCGCCTTTCCTGGGACTCACTTGGTAGCCCAGGCTGGCCTCGAACTCACAGAGATCCGCCTGGCTCTGCCTCCCGAGTGCTGGGATTAAAGGCGTGCGCCACCACCGCCCGGCCCTTTTTTTGGTTTTTGAGACAGGGTTTCTCTGTGCAGCTTTGCGCCTTTCCTGGATCTCGCTTTGTAGACCAGACTGGCCTTGAACTCACAGAGATCCGCCTGCTTCTGCCTCCCAAGTGCTGGGATTAAAGGCGTGCGCCACCGCCCAGCTTCACCTCTCCTTTATTGTCGGGTACAGAGCACAGCCTTACCCACCTCACCAGATTTAATTGCACCTTTAGAGTTACTGCCTGTGTTTCTCACGTGCATACAGACAGGGCCCTGATCTTTGCCTTGTCCCTAATTCCAAAAAAAATAAGTTCTCAGGCACCACAAGCTTTTCTCTTCCCAGTTCCCTGTTCTAACTCACTGTTCAGCTCATGGTACAGGACCACCACAGAACCAGAGTCCAGAGATCGTCAAGTAAGAGACTGTAACAGCTAAAAGGTATTTACACCCCCAGACCCAAAAGCATCTGGGCATTACAAAAAGACTTTAATATAAACACCTATTACTGTGAGATGCTTTTAACAATTGATCACCTGTCTCCTGGATGGCGAACTAGTAAAGGAAACAGGTACTTTAAAATAATCTGTCTCTGATAACGCTTAATATGTTTCAAAATCTATCTGGACAGACCGATCTACCAACATAAAATAATAATGATTCTTTTCTCTCTCTAAGTTTTTTCTGTGTCACCAGCATCTTGTCAAACAGAAAGTTCCCAGCCACAGCCAAGAGGGATACATGTCTCTAGAGCAAACAGATGACAGACAGCATCCCACAACACCTGTCTACCTCGGAAGACTCCCCTTCTCCATTCCCCTAAGAGCCAACCGACGTCCAAAAATCAGCTGGAAGTAGTTTTTGAGAGGAACGACGCCCCTAGTCCCA